ATATTGTTAATACTCCTTTTATTATAAAAAGGGGCGCAAACGGGCAGGAGGCTCATCTGATGTTAAATGATACCATGAACGCTTTCAACGCTATATGGCTCGCGAGTGCGTTGCCGACCTCTTTAAAATCGGTACGCTTTTTGAAGGATCCTAAATCAAATTTGACGCTCAATGACAGAGAGTACCGTTTAAAAATTGGTACGCTAATATGAACCCTAAGTCGAATTGGTTCTCAAATACTTCAGTGGGCAGCTGGTTACACATAGAGGTGCCCAAAAACTGCCTTAAATCTGGACCCAAGGAGATGATACGGGTAGAATTTATTATTCTGCTTCGACGTCTGATGAATCTTAGCTGCAGGTATTAGACCGAACAACTCCTCTGAACTCGCTCCATGGTGAATGCGGTAGAAGATGCAGAGCTGCCCCACATCTCAACGCCAAAGGATTAAGCCGCTCGGGAGTTTAAAACTATTTTAGTCTATTTTATAGGTATATATAAAAAACCAATTTCCGTGTTTTCAAGAAACCAGTTTTTTTTATAATTTGACAAAAACATATGTTATGCAAAAACCTATTTGATATCTATTTTTTTCACTAGTTTAAAAACCAGCGCGAGCGCCATTATCTACAATTAGTGATGTTTTGAAACGTGATCCGATTTTGTTACTGTCCAATCCGTTTGGTCGCATGTACTCGATCCGATTTTCAATATAGAAACCAATATATCGAGTTATGTTCAAAAGAGTTAGGTGGTGCGATACAATGGGAAATAATGTTTAAATTAAAATTAATTTATGTATGATAGTCAAGGCAACCATGGTGAAATCGGGTTGGGCAGGCCTTATACCAGCGTCAAAACCAAGAGGTACATAAGGGACAGGTCAAAAGTTTCCATAATCGACGAGCAGGGTGAATTTTATGAAAGCCCTACAGAAGCCCCTAAATCAATGGCGCTACAACCTGTTTTAGATCTCGGCTTCAGATTTCTGTTTCATTTGGTAATCTAATAGGCAAGTAGGCGATCAGCCTGATACACGCCTTCGGCTTGGGTCTAAGGCACGATTCCTCACGATGTTTTCCTTCACCGTTCGAGCAAATGTTAAATGCGCACATAGAAAGAAACTCCATTGGTTACAGCACAGCCGGGGATCGAACCTACGACCTCAGGGATGAGAGCCGCACGCTGAAGCCACTTAACACATAAGTAGTGAATATAAAATACGTATGGGCATATAAAAATAATGGAGACAGCATTAAGAGACCTAAGATCACAGACGGAGCAGAGTTTTAAGCTGGTGGGATTATCTCAAAGCTATCGCTCACATCGCGTAAACGCCCTTGCGCTAGTCGCGACTCGCGGTAAGCCCAATCCGGCCGCAAAGCTACGTTCGCCGAGCTGAGCTTTCAAGGCCCTCCAGGCCAACAGCGAGATTCCTTTCAAAAAAAAAACTTAACCAATGGGCCCTCGGGCCAGTCAGTGATTAGACTGGTCGAGGCTCCATTTAGGTTGAAGGAACAAGTCACCATACTTTCTCAACTTGTTATTTCCTCCTTATTTTTATGTATTTTGTGTGTGAAGATTGTTAGTAAATAATTAATTTAATTTTTTGTAGCTAAATATCTACATTAAGGACACACTACAAACGAATTCATATAGATTCGTTTCGATTCAACATTCCGATCGTAAAACAGTTTATCACTATCTAACCTTCATTTCGATACGCGGACGGCGCACGTGCACACGTCATGGCGGGCACCGAGGACTTAGAGAGAATAAGCGAGTTGCTCGACTCTGAGGAGCCACCGTCCAAACAGGAGTTGCTGGAAATGCTTGAAAATGCCAATATTTCTGATGATATGAAGGAGAGTTTGAGGAGTATGCTCACGGGGGATATACCACAGGTTTTCGGAGCATATAGCACTATTCTCGGTTTTGCTTTCGTCTTCCTTATATTCTCCATTATATGTGAGTAACTGCTAATTTATTTATAATCTTAATATATATAAATTACGTGTCAAGTTGTTTGTCCGCTATGGACTCCTAAAATACTGAACCGATTTCAATCAAATTTGTACACCGTGTGCGGTTTGATCGAACTTAAAAGATAGAAAAGCTTACATCTCAATTTATACCCGCAATATTATTTCATTGCAAATTATTTGTTAATTATTTGATAGTCACAAAGGCGCGTGTTGAAAGTACCAACGTTTCACATAAGCTACAATTTATTGGCCTTACCACCAAAAAAGCATGGTGGTCCCCATGACTGGTGTTCTCCGTTTCCCTTGAATAGTTTACTACTATGTAATATAACAAAAACCTTAGCCACAGCAACGCTTGGCCGGTCTGCTAGTATAGTATAATTACTAACACATTGTAATAATAATAATTAAAAATGATATATATATATATAGAAAATTTAAACAAACTTTAAAAGTTTGGTTCCTAGGCTAGGACCCTGTGGTAGACCTTTAATGATGGCATTTCCACGCTGTATTGCGATTATTTGCCGAGGAAAGCACCAGTTCTAAGATCACTGTTAGTACCAGGCGCCAACTTAAATCTTTAATTAGTACCTACTTGAACCCCACGGCCCAAGTCTACTCCAACGGGAACAAAGTTGGTGGAAAGACTATAAAATAAATACACAAACAAATAAATAAATAAATTACTAAAAAAATACACTTAGCTATTTCTCGTGACCTTTAAAATCAATTTTCTCCCACGTTAAATGTTATGAATTTATTGTGTCTGTCTCTTTTTACTGGCGCTTTTTCGTTACATCTTCATTTGTCAATCTAATAGGCAAGTAGATGATCAGTATCGTGTGCCTGACACACGCCGTCGACTTTTGGATGTAAAGTAAGCCGGTTCCCTAACGATGATTTACACATAGAAAGTCCATTGGTGCACAGCCGGGAATCGAACCTACGACCTCAGGGATGAGAGTCGCACGCTGAAGCCACTAGGCCTATACTGCATTGTTGTTTTTAAATCATTTTTTGTAAAATGATTAATGTTTGTATGATGATATTAAAAATCCAGTTGACTTGTTCATTTTCATAAAAAATAAAAAGATTTTTTAAATAGGTTAATAGTGAAAATTAAAAAAATTAGTTTTGTTTATACGATGTGGTCTACTTTAATAAATAAATAACGGCTGGCATATTATATAGATATACAAGTAGGATGCTGCGTGTAGATAGGGCCAAGTGGAATGCTGCGTGTAGATAGGGCCAAGTGGAATGCTGCGTGAAATAGAAACACCACACGTTAGCCTTCCGTCTGTGAAGACCACAAATTAGAAGCGTAAGAAAGCCTGTCCTGTCTGCAGCGTGGGTGTATTATGAATTGTCCTCCTTCAGGAGATACCGAGTGGTGTTTGACGGGAATGAGTGATGATGAGTGAGTTCATAGAGATAACATTTGCTTAGTCTGCTCAATAATGGCTACTACAGAATGTTCGTACTATATTTACTAGAATGCTTAAACCTTCTTCATGAATCTTTCTAGATATTGGCGAAAACCGCTAGAAGTTCCTACCTACTTTTTGATTTTGACTTGTTTTTATAAAGGAGACGCTGACTTGTAGGCACCACGAAAGTCTTCAGTCGGGTTGATATATGACTCACAAACATGGCTGTCTATTGGTGTTTCTCCCACTATCAACCATACAAAGAAACCGTTCTTTGTATATATGTGCGATGGCGAAGGCCAACCGTTGTTTGCGATTGCTACTGAATGTTGTCTCCACGACATCTTTATATGTTAATTTCTTTTATTTTTTATTATGTATTTTTGTTTTTCCTGATTGATTTTGTATGTTTGCTTTTTTTTGTTTCGTCTGTAAGCTTTTGTTCACTCTTGTCAATTTGGGGTCGCCTGTTAGGGCAGGAGTGTTGTCATAAATAAATAAATAAAATAAAATAATGTTCGCAGAGTTCACAGTAGCGATATTGTGTTTCTTATGTTTCAAGTTTCCTTTTTTAACCGACATAACCACTTCTTAATTCTTCTGCATTCTGTCCAGCACAGTTGTATTCCAAATAAACTCTACCTATGTTAGATAGATAAAGTCCATTCAAACATTATCGCCACGTATTTTCGATAACTGAATTATCTAGGGATAATATTTGATAATATAGGTAAGTGAAAAATCTTAACACTTAAGCAGCGATTTTAATGAAACTGAAGAATCTCGAATTTTTGGTTCATATACAGCATTACGATGAAGTCGTTGACGCTGTGTGCATCTCTTCGTCAGCCATTTTCGGCTGGCGAGTAAGTTAGATTGGAGGAAGAGCAAACATTCTTTACGTAAACGCAAATGTGTGGTATGACTTATGTGTACAGATGGCTGATCACTTGACAATAAAGAAATCTATGAAAGAGATGCAGTTGTAAGACCCAAGGTCATAGCAGTATGCCTTAGATGCAATCAGACATGTGTCAGGCACAATGGCTGATCATATACCTGACAATAAAGAGATCTATGAAAGAGATGCAGAGTTGTAAGAACCTGGGTTCATAACAATCCGTCCAAATATACCTGAATCAGGCACAATCATCTTGACAATAAACACATCTAAAAAACAGATGATGAAATCTTGAGCACATTGAAGGGAAGTCACAAAAAGATAAAACTTAGCTACTTGCTTAATTGTATCTTTTAAATTATATATTTTAAAAGATATAAAATTATCGATTTGTTATCTTTTAAATTTTTTATCTGTATCAATTATATTATCTTTGATTCAGTAGTATTTATCGGTGCTCACATATAGCGTGTGGTATGTATATTTTAAATATTATTTATCATTTTAAGCAGCTAATTCTAAATAACATTTATCATTATTAGGATCTTTATTCCAATCCGAAACATTTAAACCACTCACAAGAGAGGTTTGAAAAAATTGCGACAATAAATGTTGGAAATTTATAAATAACTCTATTATAGTCAAAAATTGTTTTTGAGGAACGCCCAATTTCGCGGCAAAATGGCGGACCTCCAAAAATTCATATCGGACAAGCTTCAAGAGACAATACACAACGCGGACGTCATGGGGATGCTTCAAAAGCTGCTAGAATCGTTCCAAGGCGAAGAGTCTGAGGGTCTCAAGGCGCAATTGAAGGAGATTATGGAACAATACGAAGAAATGGCTGATTCGGAGAAGGAAATGTTTTTGACATATATCAAAGAGCTTTTGGCGCGAAAGTTGGCTAAGCATTTCCAGAATAATCCACCGGATCTGTCAAAGGTTGAGGATGTTTTGGCGGGAGCCGTGCGTGATCAGATGATATATGTCGCTGTTGTGGTGTTAATTGTCATCGGAGTTGTTGGTATGTCAATTGTATACATACGCGGTTTGATAGGTGAACGTTACGTTACATATTTCAATTAATTTTGTAAAAATACAAGGATTTATAATAACAATAAGCCATTTGACATAATAAGCCATTACAGATTTATAGAACCTATGCGTATAGCAGTGTTAGCCTAGTTTTTTTATAGAATCTCGCTGTTGGCTTCGGGCCTTGGCGAGCGTAACTTGGCCGGATTGAGCTTTTCGCGGGACTCAGCACGAAGGCATGTTTCAGGCAAAGGAGGCTGATCACCTGCTTGCCTATCAGATTGCCAAATTATCATGAAATAGATACAGAAGTCTGAGGCTCAGACCTAAAAAGATTGTAGCGCTACTGATTTATTTTTATTAATTTTGTATTCGACTACTTCATAATCAGGATAACATTAAGTCCATGTCATGTTATCCATTAGTACACGACCTAACGGAGGGACTCCAAATTCGTATAGTTGTCTCTCATTCTCGCCACCATTTTCCTCCGCCGTCCTCTTTATTCCTTCAGGTTTCTGTTGTTTCAGAGCGTCCTCTCTTTTTTCTTCCTACTGGGCCATTTCAAGTAAAGGGTATTTTTGACCTGTCATCACAAACGCGGGCAATGTAACTGGCCCATTTCCACATTAACTGTTTTGTACGTAACTCCTAACGTCTCTTTGTAAGGCTTCTTTCGTATTCATTCGCATACTTCAGTGGTTTTAGTGGCGCCGCACAACTTCCTCCACTCTCCCCTGTCTTCGACAAGCCTCTCCGCTTGGGAGATGGTAAGACCTGTAAGGGCCCTTACGTCCAGCGAGTAGGGGATCGGCCTCGAAGTCTGGTGCCCTCCACTCTGCCAGTCACGTTGAGTTTTTTTAGAATTTCTGGCTCTCGGCGTGTTACATGTCCAAAAAAACTGAGGATGTGTTGGTAACAGAGTCGAAGATTTTTTACCTGTAACTATCTTAGTATGGACACCTTAGCTGTCGAGGGAATCCTTTGCTTCCGCCTCCAACACCACCTTCACTAAGGCTTCGTATTATACAGTTTTTATCTCTGTATTTAAATTTCAACTGAAGAATAGAACTCTGCATACCCCTATGGAAACTCCAAAATTCTTTATTAGCGCCTGAAAAGCCACGTGGAAATTCGATATATAAGTTTAATTTATCAGTTTATAATAACATTACCTGTTATTTTAACTGATAAACAGGTCAAGACGAGTTATCTAAAGCTGGTTATCTGCCGATTTTGTTGCATTTATTATTAAGTGTTGCTAGTGGTCGGTGAGTTATCAAATATAACCTTTATTGACGATTTAGATTTGCGTTTGAGCTATTGAATATCTGTATTTAGGCCAGTGTTTTTCAACCTTGTTGGGCCCCAACATAGCTTTTCTAAAATTCTAATGCCCCTGTGTAACATACAAAAATGTATATATATTATATATGTTTTGGGAGGAAATCATCAGAAAATTCATATTCCAAATAATTTACATGATTTTTTTCTATATTAATGTATTTTAATTTAGTGAGATCCTTGCTGCACAAAGATGTTATATTAGGTTCCAATTTGGTTAGCTTCAGTATTAAGTCTCCACGTGTTACATCCAGCCTTTAACTATCAAATTGCCCCCCTTTGGGGCCGTTTCTAAGTACAAATATGAACGAGGTTGATTGATGAAATCACGCACAAATCTCAAATCTTTTTCAAAAACGGTATTTCTATACACTGTATATTAATTACCACAGTTAACGAATGACTATGGACGATTACGAGGCGATGACGGAAGCTGTCAAAAATGCTGACGTTTTGTCAATGTTGCAAGATGTAGTGGCAATTGACGCACATGACGAACAATCGCAGGAGATTAAAGAGAAAATTCAGGATATTTTGAAACAGTATGAGGTTATGGGGGAAGAAGATAGAACATTGTTTGTAGATAGATTAAAAGAGGCTTTGACGGAGAAATTGTCTATGAAAATGCAGGAAAATGATTTCTCCTATTGGCCTATGTTTGTCGCTGTTTTCTTCGTGGCGTCTGTGATTGGTTTGTTGATATTTACGTAATTTTTTACCCCACCATTTAGAACAATTTTATAACCAAAAATATCAGTACCATTTTATTTAATATGCAGTGGTACCTCGATATACGAGTGTCCTAACTTACGAGTGTTTTGAGATACGAGTAGCCGAGCAAGCGATATTTTGCTTTGAGATGAGAGCAAGATTTGAGATACTAGGAATTTGGTTCGCAATTTGTACATTTACAAAACATTGTCACATTTATTGTTATAACCATAGGTCCGAAGATGTCTATTGAATTAAAACGTGAAATCATTTTCTTATTCAAAAACACTTAACAATAACCACTGAGATGGTGTTTTGGGAGCTGGATTAATAACAATTCAATGGAGACAATTGCTTTGAGATACATGCAATGTTAGGTAACGAAATAAACTCATATGTCGAGGTAAAGATACAGTGTATCTTTGAAGTCTCGGTAGTGCTAACTTGAGCTTTTAATAATTCATTTAATCTACCTACTCTATACAACGACTATTTCAATACTAGATATTCAATTCCCCTCGTCACTCTTTCAAAAATATGTCTTTAGAACACTATTAGGCATTTAATGTCACTAAATCAAGCCGATTTTATCATAGGCTTCAGTTACACACTCGCATTCTCTCTGTATACATACAGCTATATATAGCTTTGTGTGCTTAGAGGATAAGCCATTTGAGAATATTTTGCAGTTGAGAGTAATCCGTTTCAAAATATGGCTTTAAAAAGCGTTATGGAAAAGAATTAATCGGAGTTAGGTTAAAAAAACGGTAATTAAAAATATTGGTTTTTATTGGTGAAGTCACGTGACACAAAATTCTTCATGTAAATCATCGCCCGTCTAATCCTAATACTGTCTAGTTTAATTTGGTGTCTTTTTGTGGTTTTTGAATGAAATATAAATTTGTGTTTGTTTGTATGATATGATTTGGTATGATACGTCACAGCGACGCCATCTTGCATAAAAAGCGTTATGGCGGTTTCTTTAAATTTATATAAAGCAAATTAACTAATATAGGTTCTATAGTCGCTTATAAATCTGAAATGGTTTTTTAAATCTTGTCAAATTGCCTATTAAAATATTGAATAACATATTAAACTTCGTTATTCCATCATCAAATCAATATAAAGGAAATTATCAAAGCATTTGTCGATATGAAAGGCTCTAGTAACGCCTTATACATCAAGACCATTATTGAACCTTCAATATAAAGTAGGTCCTCATATGTCTCCTAGCGTGAACACAATTTGAGAGTTTTTTTTTTTTTTACTTGGGGAAATGCATTGCGGGTATGCGCGGTACAATTTGAGAGTAAGCAAACGTATGTCGTACCCGGTTTTATACACAATAATTACGTATTAACAAAAGCAATTTATTACCTAGGTACATATTATATATATACTAGTATTAGGTTTGTGAGGTTTTAGGTTATCTCTGGATCTACTGAAGCGATTTTTAACCCACCAAAAGTATGAGACGTTTGTGAGACATAGTCAAGTCAAGTCATTTATATATAGGTAACACAATGTAACACTTATGAACGTCAAAAAAGAAATATACATATATTAAATGCTTCTAATTTTACATTAACTGTCAGTTCTGATATCAAGGGCGTAGAACGGAAGAGAAGAACTGGCAATAAACTCTCCGCCACTCATTTTTAATCGCCAAGTTTTTTGTTTTACATAATATTAGTAAGGAGCTTCAACCATTACACCATGTTCCACGGGACATCTTAAGTAATAAATAATAATAAAATAAATTAAAATTAAATTAAAAAAAAAATATTTTAAAGATATTCGTAACACTCCTTTTAAGCATATTCCGAGATAGATTTTTTTGATTAATGTTTTTTTTTATTTTCAGTCTTCTTTGGATATAAACTATACAAGTCGATAAAAGAGAAAGAGATGAAGAAAGAAGAGAAGAAGAAACAGAAGCAGTCGAAAAAGAAGAAATGAATGTTGTAAAGTGTTTGAGATAATAGATTTAAGTTTTATTAAATTGTTTCAGAGTCCATTATTAAAAGTATGTCATCTTAATCTGACATTAATTAAATTAGGTTTAGACTACGGTAAGTCGCGACTCAGAGTGTTGCACTTACTATAAAAAAGTATCCTAAATACTATAGATTTAAAATATCTATTAAAAGCGGAATAATGTATTTAATATTTTTTTAATTTATCTAAATCACTAAATTGTCTCCTTGCTTTGTACAAATATATTTTGGTATTTAATTTTCATTTTAATTTAAATCTTTTTTTATATAGCATTTCTATATTTTATCTCGAACACAAAAGGAAATGATGTTAATTTTTTAATTTATTTGTTGAAAAATAAAAATATTTTGTATTAAATGTGTTTTAACTTATATGTTAGAAGTATCTGTATAGTATATAATATAATATATATATGTATTATAAGTGAGACCTATGAACGCAACATCCATACGGATTAGTAATGAATATATATAATAACAAGATGTCTGCACCACGAGACCTAAGGTACCAGGAACCCTGGTAGGATCAGAGGTTCAAGACGGTGGGATTATCTCAAAGCTATCGGGCTCACGATGATTAGCGCTTGAATCTTTGAGAGGAAGCGAGTAATGAATAAGACAGAGCAGTCAAATTTATTTACTTACTGAATTACTAATTTACTGTTTTAAAACATTTTAAATACTACTTACACATATTCAGCTGTTAAAGTTTGGATCAAACACGTGAGTATTGACAACAGTTGGTCAAATTAAATCTTAACAGTTACTATTACATTTAGGAAATCGCTACTTTCGTTCTTAAACTTAGGGTGAGATGAACGAACGTTAGAGGCACTTTAGCTCAATATGTAACAGTTTTTTCTGAATGTTAGCCTAGCCCTCAGCTGCAAAGGCGTTGTATATTAAGCAAATTGGTCGTTTAAAATTGGCCAGTTTCGAAGTCCTGACCTCAGTCCAATTGAGCATGTCTATGATGTTCTGATCCGAGTAACATCAGTGCAACCTGATCCATAGAACATCAGGTAGCTAAAGAGTCATTGCAGTGCCTCAAAACATTATTAAAAACGTGTAAGCTGTGAGTTCGGAAAGACTGGTTATTATTTTTATTTTATAACATTTGTGACTTTATTTGGCCGTATGCATATAAAAATTTCTTTAGATGCCTGTTTTTTCAAAAGATTTATAAAAGCCAGTCACAAGATTTTTGTTAAAATCCAATGGCTTGTTACAAATACTTCATATTATTTCTAGAATCTTTCTATATAGATATATATATCCCAATCTACTCGACCTTTCCTATAACTCAATAGATGGCGTAGAAATCATTGTACTTTGAAGTTTTTAAGGCGCTAGAGGGCGTCGACTTAAATATTTTGATAATGTTTTATAATTTATGATTTCATTAAAGAACTTCTTTGTTTTTGAAGTGAAACTTTTTTGCATTTTCTCCCACGTTAAATCCTATGAATTTATGTGTCTGTTTCTTTTTAATATCACTTTTTATTTCATCGAATTTCAAGCTTTGATAATTTTAGTTTTTACCAAATTAAAGATTGATGTTAAAATTTAACATTAAATTTATTGTTTTTAAAGAAAAGTTTAATCCTACATTTAGATAGTGAAAAAAATCAATTTACATATTATTTATAAAAACATTGTTTTTGAAGGTTTCACTTCTACCACATGTGAATTGCACACGAGTGTATTTTTGACATGTTAACCCAAAAAACCATTTTCTTAAGATTTTCATTACTAAATAAAAAACCAAGTCAAATCACACATATTTATTAACACTAAAGTTTTTTTAAATAAAGTCTTGTTCAAAAAACAGACTTTAAAAATTTATTGAACATTTTAAATTTAAATACATACAGAAATAGTTACTATCGATATTTTCTTTGCTACATTTAGGAATCAAGTTTTATATTTATTACTGTAAGTTAATTTAATTAAATACAATCTTAATGTAATAATCTACCGAATTACAAATGAGCCTCAACAGATGGCGTTAATTGGGGCTTTAATGATATTTAAAATCAAACATTAAATGATTCTATCTTTTTTTTAATGGAAACACATTCATTGTATATGGTAGCATCGTGACAATCACAGAAAAATTGAATACAACAAGGAATGTCCCAAAAAACTACGTTATTCGATTGGTCGGCATGGAAAACAACCGGAAATGTCCATCTTGATGGGGCATCCACACGCTGGCTGTTTGTCACAAACACCGCAAAAAGCAAACGAAGTCCCAAACACCAACCACAATCACCCAACACAAACAGCCATCCACATGCTTGGCGAACGTTCATAACATTCCGAATCGGCAAACATGGCGGACGACGAGCTTGTTGCAGCTATTACTTTCGGGTTGACATATTTTTATTATAAATTAAAGCAAGAGAAAGAAAAAAGGAAAAAAAGAAGAAAGCAAAGACGATGGTGGATGATTAAAATACATAGAAAGCGTACAAGGCTTTAGACCTATTATTTGAGCTTTACTTTGCCGTGTTTTTTTTTAATTTTACTTAAAAGTTACTTAAAAATGTCAGAATCGTAGGTGCTCCAATCAGACATTTTTTACGCTTTTCGCGCCAACGAAAGTGTAGCAAGTAAATACGTCCGCCTCCCGCAAGCTCGCGCGCATACTGATCGCTGCCAAACGTGTGGATACGTAGCAAACTGTTTGCCAAACATCCTTTGATCTGGCAAGATAAACCGACACCGATGCCGAACACTGCCCAACACGAACACAAACAGGCAAACAACGACAAACACCCATCCACACGTCCGTGTTTGCTGTTTGCTGTTAGCTGTTTGCCATTGTTTGTCAAGCGTGTGGATGGGCTTTAAAATGTGGAAGAACTAGAAATGTCCAACTGACAGCTGCTATTATTTTGAGGTAAAAAAAATGGTTAGTTATTCGCGGTATTGTTTACATGTTTTGTGCTTGCTTACAAGTTAATTACCATGGTTTCGGACTCTGACTCGGAAGAAAACAATAGTGCTTATAATAAAGATACTAAGAAAAGAAAGAAGACTGGTAGAACTTCCGAAGTTATGAAAAAGTTGCGAATTTCTACTCATGAGGTAGGAGCGCTATGTTTTCAAGATTCAAATGTTTTGATAAATTGACTAATTACAGAGTTTAGCACCATTTTGCAGCAGGGAGGCTCAAATCTTCTTTGAATCATTGAGTTATGACACCAAAACCAAAGATTCATTCATTCAGAACCATTGCTTGTTTTTATCTTGTTGAACAATATCATAAAACATTAAATTTGTTTTTTTTATTATCATAGAAATGGAAAAATATGTATATTTAAGAAAAACTATGGGTAGCAATAAGTATTAAATAATTAAAGATATGTGTTCAATGGTTTTATTCTCTCACTAAAAAAATGTATACTTTCAAACTATAGAAAGCGTTTTTCTCGCAATTTACTCAGGTGGACATACCTTATTCTTTCTCTGCACCCTTCATATTATATTATATATAATTCTTCTGTGAGTGTGTATGTCACTGAACTTCTCTCAAACGACTGGACCGATTTTGATGAAATTTTTTGTGTGTGTTCAAGGGGATCTGGGAATGGTTTAGATTCACAAATCAGCCCGGCAGATGGCACTGCAGTCGGTACTTTCATACTTTGCTTAATATCCTAATCGCTTTAAATATCATGCAGGACAACGTCTGTGGGGTCCACTAGTTGTATTCAAAAATATTGAATCTAGAATGACTTTTAAAATTAGCTTATAGTTTTTGCTTTTTTAATTTATTAAGTAATACAGTATAAACTCGTTATAACGAATTTCCAAGACCAAGAATTTTTGTTCGTTATAGAAAGTATTCGTTATAGCGAGAGGAGAAAAAAAAATTATCCAATTAAATTTCTAATTCTATTACTATCAATAGGTGAATTATTTTGTTTACTGGCCATCTTAACAGTTTCATAGTTTGTTTACGGCTGATAATACAGAATAGGTGACGGTGGTGCGTTTAGTAACTAAGACCAAAAGTCCCTACAGGCAATGTAATCTAAAAATAATGGCACACATGTTAATGAAATTAACAATAACAAAGGCGAGACGGCTGTTTATGACAGCAGGTGTCTTTCTTAGAAATGTCGGCACCTCAAAAGGTTAGTTTTGTAAGCTGATTATAAGTATGTTGTTGATGTCTAAATATGAAAATATTTTTTCGTTATAGAGAATGGTTGTTGCGTTATAAAGATTAAATGAGAGGGTTTTGTGTTAAACAAATGTAACTATTTTTAACTTTATAGAGAATCGCAAAGAAATACGTTATAAAGAGTTGCCACTGTATCTGTAAATATATTTTTTTTAAATTACTTTATGCACTTTACTCTTAGTATTTCTTGTTTTCTTTTTCCTTACTAGGGTTGCCTGAAAGAGATCGCTTGTTAGCGATAAGCCCGTTGGCTTCTTAATAATGTTATCTGAACCTCATAAAAATCGATCAGGTCGTTTTGCAGCTTTAGTTTTAGTCTGTGTCAAGATTTCCTTTTTTTGTTAAAGTTCAGTGTTTCAAGTAATTTAAAGACTTATTAGGTCACTTACACACTAAATCTCTTAAGCGCAGTTGATAAAATTGATCTTGAGACTAGTTTTGAGTTAGATTTATGTTTTACGATGCCAACTTAATAATAAGGCATTAAATGTCCTTCATTAAAAGGGCTTTTAACTTATTTTAGCATACACATACTTTTTAATGCTACCTAAGGCAACTAACTATTCTAGCTTTAGTAAAATTGTATCTGGTTTGAATTAAGGCTTATATTATTACTATTATTATTAAGGCAAAATAGGGAGCGTTCAAGTATTACGTCACGCAATAATTGAAACCTCCCCCCCCATGTAACGCGCCGTAACGTTTTTCTGTACCCAAACGTTTCGTGACCACCCAGTGACTCTTTATAGTTAAAAGTTACCATTATGTGGTGTAAAATACTAGAAAGTCGGAAATAATATTAACAATAAAGTGTAATTCAATCCCCGCCCGCATCGTAACGCTTTACAAAAGGAACCCCCCCCAAAATTCGTTACGTAATACTTGAACGCTCCCTTACACATTAAGGCTCATATTCCAAATGCACTTAGAATCACTTGACAGTTCATAAGACTACTTCTGTATCAGTTTTAAATGTACTCACAATTATAGTGATATATGTCAATTATACACTAAGATCTGTGTCACTTGAACTACTCGTCTCCACTATTCGCCTACTCCATATGACATATGGATGGACCTGATGTCATTTGTAGCCGAGGACATCGAGCAGGCCACTGGCCACAGCCGGAGCCAACTTCCTCGGAGTCGGCATTTCATCATCGCTCTCTGATGATGAATGGGAGTCGGCATCCGAGTCCGTTTCGTCTTTCTGCAAAATATTCATCACAATTATTACTTTTATTATTAAAACCGGTTTAATTTATGCTTGGTAAGGTTTTATAGCTAACAATAAATATTGACTAAATAGCTAAACTGATTTTGATAAGTTTTTATTCTTAATCAAATCTATCTTTTTAATAAATTAAGTCAATTTTTAATTAGGCGACTTGTAGGTACCGGTGAACGAATAAGTATACAGGGACCAAACTTTATAAATTTGTTTAATTTTTTTATTTATTAATTATTATTATTGCTATTTAGGTTAAGAATATTATAAATACTGTATATTTGTGTGTTGGAAATGAATATTTTTTTAATATAGAAATAAAAAAGATATAAATTTCGTATAATTTGAAAAGCGAAGAAATTTTACGCCATTTTTTAAACATTTTACAAAAGTATATTTGGCTTAACCGTTTTTGATGAAACTACACGATTAAAAACTTGTAACTACAAATTACTTCAAAACTTTTATGCGTTACTACTTTTCCGACGCTTCGACTTAAAAGCAGTTGAATTGTTCCGACCGGCCAGATTATGATGAAATTTTTAGACAGTCTTATGACCCGGAAAAAAATTAGCCTTTTCTGCCTGACATGTGAGGATATAATAGATAATGTATGCCGATATCTGGATATATCTAATATATAAAATTCTCGTGTCGCGGTGTTTGTAGTTAAACTCCTCCGAAACGGCTTGACCGATTCTCATGAAATTTTGTGTGCATATTGGGTATGTCTGAGAATCGGACAACATCTATTTTTCATCCCCCCTAAATGTTGACGTGTTGTGGACTACCCTTAGTCCACCGCTAATTTTTTTTTGTAATTTTTAGATTAATTTTTAATTTTTTTATGATACAGCATTAAAAAATACATACAACCCCCAATTTTCACCCCTCTACGATCAACCCTTATTTTTAATACAAACGATATACATGGCAAAACGACGTTTGCCAGGTCAGCTAGTATCCTATATTAATTCCTTACCTTCAACGTAAAAGTTGCATACACGGGTGGCCCCGTGTGGTATCTGCAGGCATTGGAGGCGAGAGGCAACTTAGCGATGGGCTCCCTGCAGGCCACGCCTCCGCGCTGGTCGCTGCACTGCTTGAACAGCACCTGGCATTGACCATTTGTGACATATTGAGAAAAAATTTACTAAAAATCGATATTTATACCTCAGGAACAGGTCGCACGCCTATTGCGTAGTGTGCGGACGTTACACTCCTTTAATATCAACCAGTGATTCTCAAACTCGTCTTTATAAACTAATCATGTCGAGATGCGGGGAATGCAAAGAGAAAATGTTTGGTGGTGATGGTGCACAATGCTCATCGTGCAAGCTGATATATCACTTTCATACATATACAAACATAGGGATCACGGAAGGGGGCTTGCGTAAACTGAGTGACCGGAAATCTACATGGCGATGTCCAAAATGCAAGACAGGAGGTCAACAGCCGGGTACAGCTACACTGTCACCTCTGCCTGAAGCAACATTAAGGGAAGAGGTAAAATCTCTTACCGCTCGAATGTCAGCCTTTGAGGAACTAGAGAACGAGGTAAAATTTATGAGAGAGGGATTCTCAGGCCTTAAAACCACGGTGATTGAAGCCAGCAATACTATTAAGGAGTTTGGATTCCGACTACTTAACATAGAAAATAGGTTATTAGACATAGAAAAAAGCAAAGAAGCAATGAAAACCCTAGAGAACAGAGTTGGGTTGCTTGAAAAAGACAGGGATTTCGCAGAGCAATGGCATCGAATGAATAATGCAGAAGTAAAAGGAATACCACAGTCAGTTAATGAGAACCTGCTTGACCTGGTAATAAGCATTGGTTCGAAAGTAAATTATCATATAATAAAGCGACAGCTTAACTTTGTAGCCCGCACTCCATCTCGAGACTCGAACAGCCCGAAGTCCATAATTGCGAGTTTCAATAATAGATACGCCAAGGAGGACTTTGTGGCTGCCGTCAGAACCTTCAACAAAGATGGCTTACTAACCCCAAATATCTTGGGTTTACGTGGGTCAAGGAAAATTTATGTGAACACCTTACTTCAAAAAACTCTACTCTTTTAAAAAAAGCAACAAAAACCGCAAAAGAGATAGACTGGAAGTTTGTGTGGGTCAAACATTGCAAGATACTGGCTAGAAGAAACTCTTCGTCTGCAATACTCGCGGTGAACTCGGACAAATAAAATCAGTGGCACTACAACCTCTTTAGGTCTGGGCCTCAGATTTCTGAATCTATTTCATGATCATTTTTCAATGTAATGGGCAAGTAGGTACATGTCGGTTTCCTCACGATGTTTTCCTTCACCGTTCGAGCGAATGTCAAATGCGCACATAGAAAGAAAGTCCATTGGTATGAGAGTCGCACGCTGATTCCACTGGGCGAACACTGCTCGGACAATGATCTTTAAAAAAATTACCAAAGGAAATTGACCGCTTAACTTTGATTAATACTTACTAACTTTTTATACTTATCTGACTATATTTATTTTATTAATCATAAAACCGAATCAGTTAAAGTTGAGAACCATTGAGCGTGTTGAAGCTATCGTCTGTTCACACTCCGACCGGTTTGCAGCAGGTAAATACTCTCATATAATTAACAATCACTACTTTGATGCGTTGACCGTAAGGTTGCTCTTTCGGTGTACGTGTTCGTTAGTTGGATTTGTATTGAGTAGCATATTGAGGGTACTTATCATCTATGATCTACCTATATTATATTCGCATATTCTTATCCGATCTCTCTTGTTCTCATGTTATTAGTGATGGTAATAATAAACACGTATTGTTACTTTTTTAATATAGACTTCTCCAAAATTATTATAGGATTGAAAATGCATATTTAGTTTTCCAATTACAGAGCATAATAATTATGCTGATGCTTAATTGGAACGTGAATTAGTTTTTAAATGCATCTGCAGAGTGCGCTAAGTCAGTGTTGAAAAAAAAAATGTTCTGAATAGAGTTAGCAATCTTATTAATGTATAAATAATGTGGTAAACAATAATAATTGGTTAAAAACTATTTACGCTTATTTTAAGTAATTTGGATTTTGCTTATTTCATTAACATTTTTTTACGTTTTGAGTAATTTTCTTTATTTTTATTCTCGTTATTATAAACAAATAGGATTGTGTCGTCTTCTTCATCTAGATAAATATGTTCTTTGCCACGAAAACATGGATGAGAAACGACGAAACGAAAGCCTTACAAATTTTTCAACAATAAATAATATTACTAACGATAATATATATAAATAAAATATCGATCAATGCCAACTTAAAGAAAAAATAGTCAATTTTCTGTCACTGTGTTGGTATTGATTGCGAGTATCACGCGAGAGCATTACTTTTGAACGTGCTCAATTGTGCGAAGCGTTGTTGTAGTTGGAACATTCAGCGTTGAGCATTATGCCGCATAATGCGCTCTAGTGCTGTAATTGGAAAACTACCATAAACTACAAAAAAATACCAAAATCATCTTATTAACAAATTACCTACCTTTAAGTGTCTGCATAACTCAATGCTACCTATACATAATTTCCTATTGCTATCTTCTGCCCGCATTGCTCATAAAGCATATATATGTTGATTTGTGGGTATTACGAGTATATGTAATATATTATTACAATTACTATACACATTAGTTCTCTGTCATGTTATAAAATTAAAATATTTGTCGTTATTTCGTTTTGTATATGTATGTATTGCTTAAAATTAATATACTATACCATGCAATATTTGTGTTAAATGAATATTCTTATTCTTATTACTACATAAAGACTGCAGTTATTTACATTAGCTTTCTGTTTTAAACAATAATTATACTGTATTAACGTTATGTTGCATTTTTTGAAGTGAAACTTCTTTATCGGGGTTGGAAAATAATTTAGTGTAACATTTTTGCGTTACGCGTCACATTTTTCCGTTACGCGCCATGTTGCTTTTTGAAGTCAAACTTCTTTATCGGCGTTAAAATATGACATATAGTATGTTTTTGACTTTGAAGCTTGACAACGGATTACATTTTCGACTTGAAATTTGCTAATCGCAATTTGCAGCAATTAATTTGTAAATTGTATGCTAGGCAGTGTATCAAAATTTACTGTGTTTAAAGAAATAGTTTCTAATAAGGTCATAAAGAAGTTTCACTTCTTACGTGTGTACACCAGTACACGCACACATTTTTTAAACATTTGTTTGATAATTATTAAAGTAATAAAACTATATAATAGTGCTTATAATTTTGTTTTTGGCTTCTGTCGTCGTAACATAAAAATCTTTAAAAATTTTGCTATTACTTTTTATATTCACGCACATAACCCCTACAGGCGAAGTAGTCATCGGAACAAATATATTTATTGGCTATTACTAAATGAATTTAACAATGTTCACGTGGACACTCACATCTACCGGCTGACAACTATTACTAAAAAAGGTAACAATGCTTTATTAATAGTGTAACGGACGTGACGTCGCCAGTCACATCCTGCCAAGCCAAAGCCAAAGCCAAGCCATCCATGTTGACCAACCCTCCAACCAACCGCCATGCCCGCCAACCGCAAATGCCAGCCACTTGGAGGGGATGAGTCTATTTAAGCCAAAGCCAGCCATATTGAAACTTACTTTTTGGAAGACGTGACAAATAAAGAACAAGTGTGCTGTCACTCTGCCATTTTATTTTCACTGTCAATTATAATAAATTAAAATACAATTATCAATAAAAGAATAGGTAAATTATAATATACATTAATATATTGCCATCGTTTAATAGATTACTGTACAATGAGTGTGTACACTATTAATATAGCGCAAATGCTCTTAATATTTGTAAGGATAAGATATAAAATTTTTAGTAATATGCTGAGATATAATACGGTTTTTGCTAATCCTTGTGCCATATATTACTGGCGCCTTATTTTATTTCATTACATAGACATTGGCAATAACTTAAACTCGATTCTTTGAATATATACTATCAAAGCCTACGTGGCTTGCGTACCAAGTGTAGCGATCTTCTGAGTAGTATTTTATTGAATTCTTATGACATTCTTTTTTTTACGGAAACATGTTTAGTTGATGGCTTTTATAACAACGAAATGTTTGACAACAGATACGTGGTCTTGAGGCGTGACAGAGATTATGATAAAACTAGACAGAGCAAGGGCGGAGGGGTAATATTGGCTGTGAATCGTAATTTAAACGTAAGAGAGCGAGTGGAATGGAGATCATCAGCTGAGGACATTTGGATTACAATTTCGTCTGGAGATAAAAAACAAAAAATTATCAACAATCTACACATTTGTACTTTATACCTATACCTATTCACTGAAAATTGTGGTAACTCATTTTTAGATCAACTAAGTAACTTCACGCGAAAATTAAATGAATTAATTTTTTCATACCCACAAGACAAGTTTTTAATATTAGGAGATTTTAATCTCAGTCATACAGATTGGTCTACGAGCAATGAGGATTACCCTCACCTTCTACCGAAGGGCTACTCCGGAGTGCAACAAATCGAGTTAATTGATACATTGAATCTTGGTAATCTTTATCAATATAATCATGTAAAAAAATGTGTACGGTGGAATATTGGATCTGGTTCTGTCTAATATCGTGGTTAAAGTCAGTGCATGTGATGATCCTTTATTACCCGAGGACCCACATCACAAATCTTTATGTATCTTAACTGAGTTTTTACTTACCGACACTATTGAAGATAACAGAAAATACATGTATATTAAAGGAAATTATGAAGAAATTAACAATGAGCTAAGAAACTACAATTGGCAGAATACTTTATCGTCGAATGATTTGGAAGACGCGGTATCAAAATTATATGAAATTTTATACACCTTAAGAGATAAATATATACCACAGAAAACTTATAAGTTGTGTAATTACCCTAAATGGTACACATTACCTTTAATTAAAATTATCAAGGAAAGATTTAAGTATCAACGTAAGTTTAAAACTTACAAGAACCTCTCGGATTATGAATCCTTTTCGCTTCTCAGGTCACGTGTCAAGATTCTTGAGAGACAATGCTTCAATGAATACATTAGCAGAACAGAATGTCGATAACTAATCCTAAACATTTTTGGTCTTACATTAAAAGTAAAAAACTCAACCACGCCTTTCCGAAAACTATGAATTACTGCAGCGAAAAAGCCAGCAATGGTGAAGATATTGCTAATCTTTTTGTTCAATACTTTAAGTCTACGTATAGCAATGATAATTTCAACAATCCATATACTACCGTTCCTACCCCATCACAACACGCTCAAATCAGTGCCGCCAATATCTCTACAGTCGAAATACTACCTAAAAATATCAGTACTGCTGAAAAAACTAGATCTTTCAAAATCGGGTGGTCCCGATTTTATTTCACCAATATTCTTAAAGAAGGTGCTGATAATTTGTCACAACCACTATCTTACTTATTTAATTTCTCCATATGCAAAGGTCTAGTGCCTAACATGTGGAAAGCAGCTTTCATTACTCCCGTTCATAAAAAAGGCAATAAATGTGATATTGAAAATTACCGACCAATTTCTAAACGTCTCATTGCCAAGATCTTTGAAAAAATTGTATATCAACAGGTGTATACAACTGTAAAGCCTCAGCTCACCAGTGAACAACACGGGTTTTTAAGAAATCTATCTAAGGCCTCAAACCTTATTATTGCCAATGAATACATATCGAGTGGAATGGATCGTCGAGCGCAGGTCGACGTCGTCTAAACGGATTACAGGAAATGTTTTGATCGTATTGATCATCACATTTTGCTTAACAAGTTGACATCCATGGGTATACACGGCGACCTGTCTCGCTGGTTCAAGTCATACGTCGACAATCGTTCACGAGCGGTCGTTTTACAAGGATATACATCTAATTGGATGTCTATTATTTCGGGTGTTCCCCAGGGCTCCTTATTGGGACCCCTCTTATTTATATTATTTGTGAATGATATACTATCATGTTTTAAATATTCTAAAATATTACTATATGCGGACGATATGAAAATTATGAAATTAATATCAACCAGGTAGGATACATTAGACCTACAGGAAGATTTAAATCGGTTTGAGGATTACTGTCTTCGTAACAAGTTGGACTTGAATGTCTCGAAATGCTTTTGTATGACATTCACTAGGAAACCTAATAAAATCAAAACAACATACAAGCTTAAAAATTCTGCTTTAGAGGCTGCCGATGTTATTAGGGATCTCGGAGTTTTGCAAGATAATAAGCTAATATTTGATATACGTAAGATAGTATTGTACGGAAAGCAACCAAAATGCTAGGCTAAGTTTAATTTGACGGCTCATTGGTCTAGTGGTTAGTACCCCTGACTGCGAATCCATGGGTCCCGGGTTCGATCCCCGACTGAGACGAACATCGATGTGATGAGCATTTGGTGTTGTGCTTAGGTCTTGGGTGTTTAAATATGTATTTATATGTCTATCTATCTATAATATGTATGTATATCCGTTGCCTAGTACCCATAACACAAGCTTCACCAGCTTAGCATGGGACTAGGTCAATTGGTGTGAATTGTCCAATAAAAAAAAAGAACATCATTTAGGTTTACCCAAGTCAAGACATTGAAAATTCTATATTGTTCGTATGTTAGAAGCAACTTAGAGCATCGCAAATTTGGAACCCTCAGTATGCCATTTACAATCGAATTGTTGAAAAGTTTTTAAACACCTGCAATTTAAGGCCAAAATTTCGCTGAGCAACAGAGCCCGGTGTAAACATTTTCACATGTTACCATTATCGTTACGACCTGATATTGCGGACATTATATACCTTATGAAAATTGCTACTGGTGCGGTCGATTGTACCTAGTGAGCAAAATAAACCTTCGAACACATAATAAAACACTTAGAATCATGAACCTATTGCATGTACCCAAAGTAAACACAAATTATAGAGGGAGCAACTTTATGGTTAGAGCGGCGAACAAATTTAATGACTTAACGATTGACATTATGTTCGCTGAGAGTGTGACAGCAAGGAAAGCTTTGACACAATATTATTTCAACCATGATGAATGAAATGCATTGATAACCTTTCATTGTCAACTAATTAAATTCTGTTTTTTCTTTTTTGTTTTAACTAAAAATATATGGCATGTTTACCTTCTTGTTTTATAAAAAAAAACTATATGTGAAGATTTGTAATTGGCCCATAATGATATATAGATATATTTCTGTATTGTGCTGTGAATATTCTGAATAAATAAATTAAAACAATGTCTCGAGGCCAACACTGCTTTTCTGCTTATTATTGTACAGTTAACCCCCTTTTTAACACGGTACTCTTATAACGCATTTCCATATTACGCGATTTCAGTCGTTTGTATTCCCCATATAACGCGGGGATTACACACGTTATATTTCTGTACTGACACATTTATAATGGTTTGTACTTATTTCGTTAACATAGTTTTTTCTTAATTATTTGTACATACCGCGTTATGTGGGGTCACACTCCTCCTACAACGCGTTTTGAACCAATCTACCGTATTATAGAAGGGATTACTGTATATATTTGTTAGTGCATTTAGAATTATGTCACACATAGGACACATTTCTGTGTCCAAATAACCACACAGACACAAATGTCCGTCACCCACCTGCTGCCGGTCGTGTAGTATGTGCTTGAGACAGTGCTTCGTCGCGGGAAGTGTATGTGTCAAGCATCGAACCCCGCCCTCTGTAAACGAACACCTGCCTTGTTGTGGATTACCCCGATTCGTGGGTATCTCGTTCACCTGTTAACAGAGATCCAGGCTTATTCTGCAACTTCATACCGACTTCGATATTTAGGGATAAGTTTCATCGGAATCGGTTTAGTAGTTTTCTTGGTATCTTTGTTATTTTTTTAAGCTATTGCATAGCTTCTATCGCGGGCCTCTACCGTGGAGACCGAATTCAGAAATTCCGTAACGAAAATAACCTAACACGATGACGTAACGTGACGTCTCACATCGGGTGCAGCCGGAGACAGACTATATAGGCGTGTTAGTCCGAGTCTGGTAGAGTGGTAGATTGAATTAATATCAAAGAAAAAAAATACTGCATAAATTAAAAAAAAATAAAACCTGTGGCACTCGGGGACTGCCGCGGTAAAGATATTGCATAATTTTTTTTTATAAACTTATGCAATTATAATTACTTATTTATGCAGTATTTTTTTTTCTTTGATATTAATTCAAGCTTTTTCTTTGATAAATTAATTCAATCTACCATTCTACCAGACTCAGACTAACTCGCATATATAGTCTGTCTCACTCTAATGCGCATCGGCTGCACCGATCTCGTCAGAGAGATGTGAATACGCAGTATGCGTTTGTCCCGCTCTAACGCGTAAGGTTTTTTTTTACGGAATTTCTGGATTCGGTCTCCACGCTCGAGGCCCGCGATAGAAGCTATGCAATTTTATTTATACATAGTACTATATCTACGGCATATTTTACAAAATCTTCCATCTAAAATGTATGACAATTGAAGTAAACAAGTGTTACAAAAAAATATGTGAAAAAACATACAAGATAAAATGAGCCAGAATTCTACGGAATTAAAAATCGGAGTATATATGAATAAACGATTTTTGTCTCAGATATTATACCTTAGCACGTTTCTTCTGAAGTTTCTTCGCCAAAATGGCTTCCCCTCGATATTTCTTGTGATAACTGGCGTACGCCTTCAACTTCCTTATTTGCCTCCTCTCGCGCACCGTCTGGGGTCCGCTCTTCGATTGGGTGTTTATACTGCCTGAGATATATTACAATATTTAAAAAATATATGTTCTATTTTATATATTTATAGCGTAATAGCTGACCCGGAAAACATTTGTTTTGCCATGTATATTATTTCTAGGAAACATTTTTTTAGTTCAATAAAAATACCTATCTACTATAATAAAAAATAGGGGTTGATCGTAGAGGGGGGAAAATTAAGGGTTTTATGTATTTTTGTATGCGGTTTCATAAAAAATAAAAACAAAAATATTTGTCTAAAAAATAAAAAAAATATTTTGGGGTGGACACCCCTTATCAGTTAGGGGTTAGCAATGCATTAAAAAAATCATAAGAATCGGTCGAGCCTTTTCGGAGGAGTATGAAAACGAACATTGTGACACGAGAATTTGACATATTAGATGTATAAAACTTAGAAAGATAGTTGATTTTGCTTCCGGCAAGATGGCTTCGCACGTAACATGCTTGTAAACAAATGTCAAGATTTTCCCTGTTAATTATCATTCCTAAAATAAATATATAATTCAAAAAGCCACCAACGAAATTAAACTCCAAGATCGTATTAGTATTAGCCAAGACTGGCTTATGTCATGTGACTGACGTACAAAATCAGTATTTCAAATCGCGTTATTGGGTTACCGTGTTATATCGTATGTATATAACATATATTTAATACTAACAATACAATTCCTTCTCAGCCTTTAAGTTCCTCAAATACTGCAGTCTCCCCATTTGTAGGGAAATCCTCAATTTCCCCATTTGTCCTACGTACGCTTCTTTTAACAATTTCAAAACGTTCTTCGCCTCCGACACCGCTTCTTCAGCTGTGAATACGCCCGCGCGCCTGGAATATGCAAAAATTCATCAATACAATTATCACTTATAGGTAAACTTTATTGATAAAAGCTCCATGTACCCCCTAAATGAAAGCACCCCCTAAATGTAGAAATCGGATTTGGTCGGTTTAGCTCGTCTTCCATACAATGATACACTCTACAATTCAATACAAAAATCATTTATTCGTATAGGTAACAAAATATACACTTATGACCGTCAAAAAAAAAAACTCTTGCGCCGTGGCGCCGTGCGCTTATTAAAGATTTAAGTTGGCGCCTGGAAGATAGAACCGGTGACCCCAGAGTTGGTACTATCCTGGCTCAACGAATAACAGCGAGGAAATGCTGCCAGCGTTAAAGGTACACTGCCAGTTTGGTTTCTTTAAAAATTTAAAAAGAAATGATTTTCTTTATTACTTTGTAGCTTAAGAAAATTATAAATATATATGTATGTATACTTGATTGTAAATAAAAATAAATACATATGAAATGATTCTAATTTTATATTAACTGCCAGTTCTCAAGGGAGCGTTCAAGTATTACGTCACGCAATTTTTGGAGATTATTGACCCCCCCCCCTCCCCTCCCATGTAACGCGCCGTAACGTTTTTCTGTACCCAAGTATAGTAAAACGTTTCGTGACCACCTAGTGACTTTTTATACCTAAAAGTTACCATTATGTGGTGTAAAGTACTGGAAAGTCGAAAATAATATTAACAATAACGCGTCATTCAATCCCCGCCCCGCATCGTAACGTTTTACAAAAGGTCCCCCCCCCCAAATTCGTTACGTAATACTTGAACGCTCCCCAAGGGCGTAGAACGGAAGAGAAGAGCTGGCAATAAACTCTCCGCCACTCTTTGTATTCGCCAAGTTATTTGTTTTACACAACGTTTGTAAGGAGCTGCAACCAGTAGCGCTACAACCTTCAAGGTATAGATCCTATGCATCTGTTTCATGAGGCAAATAGGCGATCAGCGTTTTCCTAATTGAAATGTTGAATATTAGTTGACGGCTCATTGGTCTAGTAGTAAGTAACCCTGACTGCGAATCCATGGGTCCCGGGTTTGATCCCCGGCTGAGACAAACATCGAAGTCATGAGCATTTGGTGTTGTGCTTAGGTCTTGGGTGTTTAAATATGTATTTATATGTCTATCTATCTATAATATGTATGTATATCCGTTGCCTAGTACCCATAACACAAGCTTCACCAGCTTAGCATGGGACTAGGTCAATTGGTGTGAATGTCAAAAAATATGTCTGTATATCTATTAGAGATGTTATGGATATGATATTTCGTATTAGGGAGCATTCAAGTATTACGTAACGAATTTTGGGGCGGGAGGGGTTATCTATTTGTAAAACGTTACGATGCGGGGCGGGGATTGAATTACGCGTTATTGTTAATATTATTTTCGACTTTCCAGTACTTTACACCACATAATGGTAACTTTTACGTATATACAGAGTCACTGGGTGGTCACGAAACTATTGGGTACAGAAAAACGTTACGGTGCGTTACATGGGGGGGGGTCAATAATCTCCAAAAATTGCGTTAGTTTCGGTTACGGTTAGATTGAAGTAAAATATAATCACAAATAGTATGTAATAATTTAGTTTCATATAAAGGTTTAATCTAGTCTAGATTATCAGTTGGTATTATAATCGGTCGTATAGGTAACTAATTATTTTAAACCTCCTCAGTTTTATCTATAAATAAAAATGCAATAAATTTAAGAACTGTAATAAAGCATTTAGCTTTATACATTGCACATATTAACTTATAACCTATGTATAACATATTTAATGTTTTCTTTTTCTGTCGAAACATGTCGTTTCATTTAGATTTTAGACTACGCCCTTATATGAAAATATCCGAAAGTTGTGAAACGGATACGGTTACGGAGCTCCATAACATCCCTGATATCAAAATTTCCAAATCTATGGATACTGAGATCGTAAAACTATCCAGATATAAATTAGCAAGTCACATAGAAACTACACTAGCCAAATTGGATTTCGAATCTACAGAGGCATTACTACATATCTTGGTATGACTTTGAGGTTTCATAAACTAACACAGACACAGTGCACGATCATAATAACTTTCAGCTACATTCTCAAATACATGCGCATGTACACACCTATTCACTTCATTTGTAACACTAAATTTATAACTATGTACCACGTAATAATTGTTTTCTAGTTACCCACAACACAGGGCCTCCCTAGTGTGGGGACTAGCGATATATGAATTCTGTCACCCCCCTTTTGTCATAAATAAAGTTTTTATTATTATTATTATCTTTTTTTAAACTAATTTAAACATGTATCACGTAATAATTGTTTTCTAGTTACCCACAACACAGGGCCTCCCTAGTGTGGGGACTAGCGATATATGAATTCTGTCACCCCCCTTTTGTCATAAATAAAGTTTTTATTATTATTATTATCTATGAATATACCATAACGGTTGATCTTCACACGGCGCATCCTCCGTATCAGTCAACAGATCGGTAATATCTTCATTCAGTTCGATACTATCGCAATCACTTTCACTTGCGCTGGCGAATTCCATTATGTTCGACGACACAGCAGAGTTGACCACGGTCGCTTCTATTTCCTCTGTAAAGACATTTTTTTAAATTAAAATTTTGATAAAACATAATATTTTCAATATACCATAGACAGAACATAAACCACAGATTAACAATAAATGTTGAGAACTACAGACAATTTAAAGCCATCATCGAGCGTAACAAATTGAAAAAATCTCGCCTTATTGCGGAAAAATCGGCATGATCGTAGAACAATGTCGGATTGGAAGAAATCCAAAATCCATTTATTATCATATTTGGACACTACTAAATATTACATATAGATGTGGTAAGTATCCCAATAAATATAGTTCTTTCCATCCAAAGTCGCATTTCGCCAGATTAATGGTTATTCCATATTTGTCAAGTCGGCTAAACTGTCTCTGTTGCAGATGCAATAATGACGTCATCGATATAGTTAAAGAAAGAAAGAAAAAACTTTATTATGCACAATATACAAGATATTTAGATAAAGTAAAGCGCACTGGCCCCCACACTAGGATTCCCTGTGTTGTGGGTAGCCAGTCTCTTCCTTTTGACACGTAAACAGTATTTTAAAAATTATATTAATTATTTCTACACATTTATATTAAAACTATTTTTGCACAATAAGAATATTTTCAGTATCAGCATATGACAGGTTAACAAGATATCGTTTGAGATGTTTAGTAAATGTATGTAATGTGATTTTTGAAATGTTCGTGATAATTTTGTGTTATAAACAAAACTTAGATCTCTCATTACTATATCGTGTAAAAATCTCTAAAAAGTTTGAGCGACGTTCCTCAATCCGAAACCCATTAGTACAAACTCGTAGAGACAAAAAGGTGTCGCTATAGCAGTTATCGGTATATCTCTCTCGATTATCACGATATTATAGTATGCACGTTGTAAATCAATTCTTCTAAACCACGTGTTTCCGTGTAGTAAAAACGTGCAAACTTGGATTTGGGTTATGGGATATCTATCTGGTACTGTTAGCGCGTTAAGTTGTCTGTAGTCTCCACGAGGTCTAGTTTCTGCATTTTTCTTTGTCACTACATTCAGAGGGCTTGCCCAATTACTTTTTGAAGGACTACAGAAGGCTGTGGAGATTCCTTGAAACACATTGGCTTAGTGACATTGGGAAACTCAAGTAAAATATCACTGTACGTTATTGTAGTTTATTCACTGTTGGCCGTTCATGGACTGTCACAGATCCTATAGTTTGTAAATTAGTAATCGAGTCTATTAATTTTCTCCTATTGACCTACTAAAAATTTATAATGAGATAAAAATCTGCACTGAGAATTGGCTGTTTGACGTCCTCCAACACAAAAGGCCATTGTTACGGTCGCCTTAGTCCTAAACCGAATTGTATGACTTTAACCCCCATAAGTTTTTATTTCAGTACCGTTCGCAGCGTACAGTTAATAATCATCACATTCACTATATAGTTGATTTCAAGCCATTGGTAAAACTGATATATTGGCGCCAGTATCCACTAAAAAGTTATCCATAATTTTAGTTGAAAACACACAGGCGTTGAATGTGCAATGGTGCATATCTCTGCCTCTGATAGCAACTTAGTTTTCCGAATTTCTAGATTTTTTCCAAGCGCATGGCTCTACGTATTTCTTTGCTCTATGACGATACACAAAATAATAACTGCATATCCAATTCGGGCTTTCCGGTGTCCGGCGAGTCAGGTTTCGCCCCCTTGACGCTGATCTTGAACGATAGTGGCTATTATATCGACGGTAATTATGTCGGTCCTTTTCCAGCTAACCTATTTTTAAGCTTAACTTAGCTATTTTTGCCAAAATTAATGCTCTAATACCGGCCTATGATGCTGATTATGGTTGCTGGGCTGGATTCATATATCAACTTCATTGCAATACTGTATGCCCAAAGTTGTTATCGGGGTCACCAATGTACCTTATTTGGTATTCGTATGACCTTATATGGTACTGAGTAATGTAATGAAACTAGGCTCTTCAGGACACGTCTATATGAGTGTTGGTACAATACTAATCTATATCAAAACGTACATTTATATTAATCATGTAGGCACAAACATCTGTGCCTGACAAACATGTCTGACTGGAATAGGCTTCAGGAAAGTGTAATTAGTGCACCCTCTTTGAACTCTTTCAAAAAAAGCATAATAAATTGCGAGTGTGACTAGATAATAATACTAATACACAAATACATAGATTTTAAGCTACTATATATATATTAAACGTATTTAATAAATTCTTACAAAATAAAAATACATACTAAACGGATCGACAGAATGCGATGTAATTTCGTTGTCAGCTGGATCGCTAACCACAGACACGGAGGAGGCGCCCGATGTTGTACGCGTACGTTCTGGCCTGAAATTATATTTTTTTTATTTGTGGTGGGTAGATAGATATTTGTACTACCCTCCCTTTTTTAAGTTTCTCGAGGGTACATGTATACTGTGTTCTTTCAATTAGTAAGGTCTTGGGTGTTTACATTAATTGGAAAGGCGAAAGAGTCAATTGTGTAATATTGTAAGTTGTGTAATGGTGAATGTTGTAAATCACAGAACAGATTTTTTTTTAATTATGTAACTTTAATGACGTTGTGGTTTATGACATTTTCCTTTGAATAATTGTATTGTAGATGAAGGGTAAAATAGAGTTTCTTGCCCGTTCTTCTCAGTTTGCGAACGGATGGCGTAGTCTTGCTCTTTCGCGAGTTTTGTAAACGTTTTTGACGTTCATAAGCATACGCTAAGGCGCATCTAAACTGAATATACGTATTTTGAGTCAAGTTAGAAGTAAATTATTGAGCAGCGCCCTTTTTCATGTAATTAATAATTCCTTAATATTGTATGACATGATTATTAATCCTTTAAAAAAGCGCCACCTATACTCAGCATTAGGAAACTTTTCTACTAATATTTTTAGATCAAGCAAATGTTCTGAGATAGATGATGTTCAAATGGTCTGCATGGACCTGCTTCCGGAATTTCAGATCCCGGGCGCATGCCCTAAGTAGAGCTCATGAGTTGTCCACGTCTAGCAGCAGCAGCAGTCTAATCCCCTATGATTTTGCTGCTTAACCGTCTCCTGCACCAGAACTGGATATATTTGTCACAAGTTTGGGAAGACTGAGAAACTGCCCATGGACACTCAAAGCCATCAAACAATTTACTATATTTTTGGAGTTTACTAATTAAGAAACGATTTGAGTTATAAGGCCCGGTACGGAAATTTTATGAGGAGTAAAATCAAGTGTAACACGAAAAGTTGAGGCGTTATGTGTAACACGAAAAGTTGAGGCATTATGTAGAAAAAGACAAACATATGTATCTGTAGGATTGAACGTGTAAAAGAATGAGATGGAATACATTACACAGACTTTTCTATTTTGAATTCACGTTTTGACAGCCACGTTACAACATTGTCAGTGTTGACAGGTGTAAAAAATAAAAGTAGATTGTCTAGCGCGCCATAGAGTTTTGTCAATAGTAATGGTCAGTGAAATTAAAACTAATAAATAATTACAGATAAATGTTTGTTTCTCTTATCATTTTAGCAGATGCGTTCATTTACCCTTTTTTTCTATTCGATATATATCATAATCATCGTTCGTAAGGAGTAAACTCCAATCGTGCGTCGTAGCTGACACACACACTTTTTTTTTTTTTTTTTTATGGTTAGTTATTTTTTTTCAATGTATATTATTTTAGTTATTATACTTTATATAATATGTGTGTTGGAAATAAACAGAAGTTTCATATTTACTATTAATTTTATCATTGGACTCACTACTTAGTTACAGAGTTATTTAGTTACACAGGTTATTTTTTTATGTTCACCTTCATTTTTTCAACTGGACAGACGTATGGCCACAATCCCACCTCATCTTATCACATTGGAGGGCCAGTCCAGGAGATGCCTATTTAACCTCTTCTTAAATGAACCCATATTAAACTGTCTGTCATTATTATTTTTTCTGTTTACCTTCATTTTTTTAAATTATTTTTATGGTTATACATACCGTATATAATGTTGCAATTGGTTCAACAGAGTCTCCGTCGTAGTAACAGGGGGCGGAAGTGCAGCACTCCGCTGACGACTGATTAGGGCTGCGCGGGCATGTTCGAAGCAAACGCTGAAAAATCGAATTCTAGTTGGGCACTGCGGTTTTGCCTGCACTTACTATTTTCCAGAATCAAAAACACCCTTGTTCATACATCTCATCTTTTACTTTTGCCTATAACCATTCTAATCCAACCCTGTCTATCTATGACTATATGGGAATATGAATAGAAATATATCTATACTAATATTATAAAGAGGAAAGATTTGTATGCAAGTATGTTTGTAACAAATTGGCTCAAAAAGGGACCGATTAAAGAAAGTCTTTCACCATTTGAATGCTACATTATACCTGAAAAAAAAAAGCCTATAAATTATCTTTCATCGCATGCGCTGCGAAAACTATTGATGATAGAACAAAAAAATGTTCCACAATATTAAAGAACATATCGATATCTACAAAAAATGTCGCGACAGCATGTGTACCTATTGTAGTTATGTCACTATAACTACTTTTTAATTTTAAATTTCTATCATTAAATAGAAATTCAGGCCAAAACCAGACCAAGTTATTTATACCTTTGCCTTAATCCTTACCTAAATAAATTACTTTTTACTTTATTAAAATCAGACATTCCATTCGAAAGATATAACAAGTACAATAAAATTAATTCGCCGCAACGCCGCCGCGCGCCGTGAGGCGCCGGAGCTCCGGGGCCGGAGTGCAGGAGAGGGGCACATCTAAGAAATAGCTAGCCGCACGGCTTATTCGCTTAATAGAACTACATATTTCAACCTTTCAGTTAAATTTATAAGAAGTTCATTTCAGAACTACTTATAAATTAGTTTATTCAAACCTTTCTATAAAAAGAATAAGAAAAAGCTATCACAAAATAGTTCCTAAGGCAGCGTTCAAGTATTTTGGAGATTATTGAGCCCCCCCTCCCCATGTAACGCGCCGTAACGTTACCATTATGTGGTAAGTACTGGAAAGTCGAAATAAATATTAACAATAACGCGTAATTCAATCCCCGACCAGCATCGTAACGTTTTATAAAAGGGGACCCCCCCCCTCCTAAAATTCGTTACATAATACTTGAACGCGAGATTAACAAAAATACGTCGTAACGGAGAATCTTCTTCTGAATATTCAGTATCGTCTCGCTAGACAGACGCTAGACAGAGTACGTATCGCAGTCGCGAGCGAGAAAACCTACGTAGCGTCGAACGTTCGCAGCGCCTTGCTGTAAATATAGTTAGAAAATCGCAAATGCTCGCAGCAGCTTATGGCACAGGGGGTATTGACTGTAGACTGTACAGTAATAGTAGGTATATAATGTATCTGATTATTACTAGCTTATATATACTCTAAACCTCAGTGAAACTTTTTTAAAAATTACCCGTTACGCAAGTACTCTAACGAGTTTTCTCAACAGGTTATCGACATTTTTTTATTACTACATCATTCATTCCTTAGTTTCCCGACAAACGTCGGGATTAAGAAATGTAAAATAATAAAAAAAACCCTCTGACACCACCTTGACACTACAATCTCTAGTTCTTGGATTTTCTGTTTCATAAGCCCTTAATGGGCAAGTAGGAGATCAGTCTGACCCAAATTAGGATCACCATACAAGCAAGTGTCAAATTCACATTAAAGTCCATTGTCGCACAGCCAGGATTCGAAGGCATGACCTCAGGGTTGAGAGGCACACGCTAATAGGCCAACTCCTCAGTAGTTGGTTATTATAAAATCTCTTTAAATGATCTATCCCGTTTATCCATTTTAAACAAACTGAGGGTAGTTCTCAAAAGTAAATAATTTTAAGAAACACATCATTCATATTGACAGAACCAATATATTTGAATTTAAAAATAAAAATTAGACTCTCATCCCTAAGGTTATGCCTTCGATCTTCAAGTAAAATCTGGAGTAAGAATCCAATACTTTTCCCCAAAAAAATCGTTAAAACCTCACCTATGATCCACCTTTGGGGCTGGTACGGGGCACCTTCTACCCTGGGAATTAATATGCGCGCACTGCTGGTACGGCGCTGTGCAGTCATCCAAAATATGCTGGGCACAGAATGCCCGACCCACCAACACTGGAAGGAGGCATTCGTACTTCTGATGCCCACAGGTGCGGTATCGGGATGCAATCTCCTTTTGTAACTAGAATTTAAAAAAAAAACCTTAAGACACTTAAAAGGATCCAGAGTAGGTAAGACCAATCCCCACTTGCCACCATGCTTATCCTGGATTTCCTCCATTCATTCCTTCTACATCAAACCACCTAAGCATTCCCTTTGGTAACCTAGACTCGCCCTTAATTTATAAAAAAAAAACAATGGGCGCTAAAACCTTTTTAGGTCTAGGCCTCAGAGTTCTGTATCATGATGATTTGTTAATCTAATAGGCAAGTAGGTGTTCAGCCTTCTGTGCCTGAAGCACGCCGTTGACTTCTTGACTCTAAGGCAAGCCGGTTTCCTCACGATGTTTCTCTTCACCTTTCCAGCGAATGTTAAATGGGCACTGAGAAAGTCCATTGGTGTACAGCCGGGGATCGAACTTACGAAGTCTGAATCCACTAGGCCAACACTGCACTCATATTATGTATGTCCTATATTTATACCACACTTATAATAACGGCTTGTCCGATGTTTTGTTTTTATTTTTTTTTATTGGACAATTCACACCAATTGCCCTAGTCCCATGCTAAGCTGGTGAAGCTTGTGTTATGGGTACTAGGCAACGGATATACATACATATTATAGATAGATAGACATATACGTACATATTTAAACACCCAAGACCTAAGCACAACACCAAATGCTCAGCACATCGATGTTTGTCTCAGCCGGGGATCGACTAACCACTAGACCAATGAGCCGTTTATACAAAAACTTCATGAAAATAGGACAAGCCCGTTTGGAAGGATCCTTGAAAACATCAGATATATGTATAGATGAATAATTCTACTATTATCATAAGTCAAACTATTTTTTATGACCCCAAAAATTTATATGATTTGACATATAACTAGGCCTGTATTCTAGAACGTCAATCAAACTTAAATCTAGTTTAGCTGTCAAACCAATTTGTCTGTATGATGTTTGATATATTTTGACATAGCTCAAGACGAGATTGTGACTTGAGAAACGAATTAGAATATGGACATTTTACCCTTCTACCACCAACCCTATTGAATAGCGATATTAGCTAAAGTATATTTACCTCAGACCTCAATTTCTCCTCCTCCTGCTTCTTCATCAGCTCAGCATCTGGTGGCCTGATGGATTTCACATTTGTGATCTTGATAGATCTACCACCACGAGACAACATTCTCACTTTGGATAAATGGAGTTGCGTTGGTTGGGACATCATAGAGGTGTTAACTAAAAAATATATAGTTAATTAATTGCACTATTTTAATTAAACTAATCATTTCACAGCGTAAATACAATTTAACAGAAAAAGTTTACTTAAAAAAGTGCTAGTTGCCGTTTTTTGACATAACTAGGACAGAATAAAACTTAATGTAATTCAACAGCCTATTGATTATATCTTAGTTCTGAATATACGAAAACAGAATTTATATGCCTGTCCTTTGGGCGAATAAAAAAAATATCGGATCCGAGTCGCTCCTTTATTCCAGATTTCCTGAATATTATGTCCCATAAGTTTGTAGAATTTATATAACAAGTAATAATTGCCCGTAAATCAGCCGAAATGGATGTATGTATAATAATTATATGTATGTAAATAAAGCTTTTTGTAAAATGTTTTTTTTATGCGGGCTCTTTAATGATCCTTTGTGCCACTAGATGCCATTTTCTAAAGTAGAAATATATGTTAGGCAATATGGTCTACAGACTTGCATGGCCGCAAAGAGAATAATAAAAAAAACGACGGGTTGGATTCCTGGAGTGCCGGCAGAAGTGAAAACTTGAATATTAACGTTGTCCATTATTAATATTTTGGAATAGTTAGGGAATAATTTTGCACGAATTGCTTTAATTATCAGTATCATTGCATGCTATCATTTTTTTTTATGAATGGACAATTCACACCAATTGACCTAGTTTATCCACCAGGTGAAGCTTGTGTTATGGGTACTAGGCAACGGATATACATACATATTATAGATAGATAGACATATAAATACATATTTAAAGACCCAAGACCTAAGCACAACACAAAATGCTTATCACATCGATGTTTGCCTCAGCCGGGGATCGAAACCGGGGCCCATGGATTCTCAGTCAGGGGTACTAACCACTAGACCAATGAGCAGTGGTAGAATTTATTTCCAAATGTAGAATCCACTTAAGTGGTAGAATACAATATTTATTTATTGCGCTATCGTACACAAACATGACAATTTATATTACATTAAATACGCCGCGCCAGCTGTCTACTCTCCATCCGTCTTACGAATTTTCGATCAGGTCACGTAAAATACTTTATTATAACCTGACTCATACAACATACCTATTTTTGTGTATTCTAATATTCACAAAAGTCATGTTCAAGAAAATGCAAAGAAAAACTAACTTGCAAAAATATTAATTTGATTAAATGATAGGGAATATACCTAACAAAACAAAACGAAACACTATTTCAAGAAATAAAGTAATTAACTCATGTACCCAGTAGTTAATTTTAATTAATAACAAGAAAATTTTATTATTTTGTGATGGTTATAAAATCACTGTGTAAGTAAAAAAAATATATTTTCCGCCATATTGGTTACGATATTTTTTATTAATAAAAACTATTTACTATATATAAACTGATTAATTTATTATCATTATTAATAGTTATGGTTTTACTTACGGTCTGAAATTCTTATGTTGTAATGGATTAAGTGTTTTCTATTATTTTTATGTATTAACAACATTATGCTAAAATTATTTTTAATTCAATGTTATCAAACATTCATAAAATACCGACTTAATCGGTGAATATATTAACAATTATGATACAAAATTTCCATTCATTCGCAATTTCATTCGATATTTACCGCCAAAACAAAATAGTTGTATCATAATAACTTCGCATTAATATTTAAACATATCAGAAACATACTAACGGACTTTAAATACCAACATGGAATACGATAATATAATTAACTAATTTTAATGAAATACGTTTACATTTATCTTATTAGTTAATATATTTCATCATTTATAATGAGGAAGTCTATTGAAAACAGTGGCGGTCGGCCATTTGCACCGTGTGACAAGGAATCAAGGTGCGTTTAATTAAAATGCTGACTATTGGCATTAAACTAATTAAATCGTGTTAAAAATATGTACAAAAGTTAGATAAAAGTATACGCTTTAGAATTATACATAGTGATAATGTGTAACATACCTGTGATTGTTGCAGATCATCGTTCAGTCACCAGAGACCTCGCTGTGAATTCACCGTAATTTTATAATGGCGGCCGCGTAACTATACATACAAAGTTACAGATAGATAAAAATATTTTTACGTAACATTTCTATCAATAATCAGTGTTGACAAACTTTTTATTATTATCTACTCATTATTTAGTGAACAATTAGTGTATTTTTATTTAAAAAATGCTGTATTCTATTTTATAAATCACTCAAATGTTAACGGGTTCTACGTCCGTTTGTCGCTGTCATAGCGCTGTCCCTTTCCCACTAACGCACATAGACGGAGAAGAACTCTCGGTCGTGCTTCTTCATACGCAGTCATTGGAACATCCGATCAATGGCTGGTGCACAAGAAAAATGGTATTTTTCAAAAGAACAACTACAGAATTCAGCAAGCAGAAAATGCGGCTTAGATGGAGATAAGGAGCTTGCATATCGGCAGCAGGCCGCCAATCTCATCCAGGATATGGGCCAGAGGCTGCAAGTGTATCCTTTTCAATGAGTAAATTTTAATGTTTTTGTCGAGTCATGTGGGCTAAAACGTGCTAAAGTGTGTCTAAAAAGTGCTTCATTTATGTAAACAGCGTTATTTCGCTTAAAATCATATGTTGTTCGATAAAAAAGTGCACTTGTGATGTTTTTGTGAAAAAACCATGACGAAACATTCGGGAAGGTAACGGCGTCACTAATTCACTTTCGCTTTAAATATCTGGGATTTCCCGTGAGTATGCTTGATATTTTGAAAATGGGTAAACCTAATATCGATTTTCCTCAAACATTACAGTTGTTGCCATATGTACGAAAAGACTTATAAAACATGAGACATGTTATTTTTTAGGTCAGTGCACCTTGATTGACAATCAAGTATGAGTAAGGACGCGCATTTTAGATGACGTATAGTCTGGATGATATTAAACATTTCTTATTTACGCGGTTTCCATGAAACACGTGTTATTATGTTTTAAGCCATACTACGCAAAATAAATGCATACCACGAATTTTCAATATCACGCGTAATACGATAACGATAGCATATAAACATTGAAACTTAACATTGTTGTCAGCTCTAGCACCTTTGTATGCCCACTATGTGACTTTCCATTGTAATTGCTATTTTTATCTCTGACTATCTACGACCATAACATGCTCCTTGATATTGAAGTATAAACAACTTCTACTGTTATTTACACTCAATCTACAAACATGCTATCTATTTACTTAAGGACATAAAATATATCAAGGGCTCAATTTAAATATGTTTCTCCTCTCTCTGTTTTTCATAGACAAGTTCATATGAACTAAAATAATGTAGGCCAAGTAAATCACTGAGTAGATATTTATTGAAAACAAAAAGAACATATGTTTTATAAATATAACTAGCGGAAGCGACAGATGTTGTCCTGCATGATATTTCAAGCGATTAGGATATTAAACAATGTATGAAAGTACTGACTGCAGAGCCATCTGCATACAAAAAATGCATTTAAATTGGTCCATCCGTTTAAGAGGAGTTCAGTGACATACACACATACAATTCAAATTATATATAGTATTTCATTTATTCTCATCATCTATGGCTATAATGTACAAAAATTTGTTAAATTCTAACTTATCAACTTTGTTCACCTGAAAATGAGATAACATACATAATTGATTCCCTTAATTTCCACGGAATAGTTTTCTACTGGTGTAAGAATTTCCAAAATAATATCATTTGCTACAAAGAATTAAATATAATATTAATAGATATTGTATAAATTAAATATGAATCATTGTTACCAAGTAGTAAATTATATAAAACTTAAACAACAATAAATTTTAGGATGTCAAAGAATGCCTTATTTTTATAGGCTTACTTTGTCTCTTAAATCCTACATACTCATAAACTATGGTTATACATAAATCATAAACAATACTAATAATAATATTTTGTTGAAAATGTATGTAAATAAAATATTACTAAGGATACTAAAATGTTGCAAAATAACAGGAAAACTTAATTTCAAAACAATGTGTTGTTGTTTTTGGTTATGAACATAATCAAAGAATTCTCAGAAGTCAATAATCAGGGCTGGAATAAATAGCAGCTTTTTTAATTATATTTGAACACACAGTTCAAATTGTTTTAAACAAGTGTTTTATTTTTATCAAAATAATTTGAGTTTTCAATTATATAATTGGTCCTGCAGTTTTAGAGTTTATGTACCAGACATAATATTTTTAGAATCCAACTAGGATGAAAAATATGTTTGTTATGATTATTATGTTAAAAAGCATACAAACAAGCACTGTACATACTTAGTCTGATAAAATAACACCTACACCTGCATGTACACTTGTGTTTATATTTCTTTGTCAGGTGCAGGTGTTACCTGTTTATTACAATGAAAAGGTAGTCTACCTGCTTATGTCCATTCAATTGATTATATAGTACTAGCCAGCTTTTGTTGATTAAATAGAGTAAATGTTTCGAAAATGACAATCATTTTACATTCATTTAATTGTTATTTTTAACTTTAAATGAAGGCGGTATTTTCTTGGAATAAATTGTGAGAAAATATTAAGATTCAGTTATAATATTAGGAGGTATTTGTCTGTATGGATTGGCTAATGTTAATCAATACTTATAATTATCAAGGAATCAAAGTCTTATAACTATCAAAGTTTGGAAAATATGTTCAGAGCACCTTCTATCTTTGTTTTACAATTTATATTAAAATGCAGGGCCTTCATTGGTAAAGTATTAATGCCATCAAAAACATGCGAGACTTGTTCAGTACTTCTACTGTAAAAAGTAGTGAGATTTATTTAATATCCTACTAAGGGGACTTTGTATCTTAAGGTTTTACGTAATTAGCTAACCCAACAAAACCTTATAGTGACAATTAAACTAAATAATTCAAACCAGTACAACCTTTTTAGGTCTGGGCTTCAGATTTTTGTATAATATGTTTCATGATCATTTGTCAATCTAATATACAAGTTGATGATCAGCCTTTTGTGCCTGACACAAACTGTCAACTTCTTGAGTCTAAGGCAAGCCAGTTTCCTCATTAGTTTAGACCATTTAGTCAATGTTTACCTCTATCTTTGTACATTTTGAGGCATGTCTTGGATACAAAAATCTACATGTGAAAGGCAGAAAAGGATGATCACCCCCTTGACTATAAAAAAAGTATGTGTGTGTTCCACACCACAACTTGTAACTTGTGTGAGTCATATACATCTATTTATCAAAATTACATACACAACTCTTCTTACTTATATAATAATTACATATACACACAATCTGTTATATCCTAATACAATGGGACAGTAAATTCTATGAGGACATATAAATAAATGTGCTATGATGGAGACAATATAGTAGGTGTAGCCTTTTATAATTATATTTAAATGCCCAGAGTGGTTTTATTTCATATATCTGCCCTCTATTATTGTCTGAGGGGACTGTTTCTAAAAGTAACTGGTGCTGAGCACAAAAGTAATGCCACATTTTATTGTAAAAACTATCTTTTGATAGCACTATGTACTCTTAGTGTGAACCACGATTTCCAGCTTAAATGCTTAGCAACAGATAGTGATTCCATATTACTTTTACTCATTGAATATCCTATACACCTGTTAAGTCAAATGTACAAATGGGCCTAAGTTGTCCTAAAACCGTAATCTGTTATGCGGGCTACATACCCTGTGCCTCATTATATAATACTATTTTTTTGTCACTAAATATTACAAAATATATAATGCATATATTTACTGGCATATTAAAGTCATGAGGCCAGTATTGTTTTAATTCGGTTTTAGTTACTGAGATTGCATTTAAACAAACTCTAACTTTACTATAATCTTATAATTTAAGTCACATTTTCCCATTATCTTTACTATTGTTACACAACTGAAGGTTTTTGAAGGGTTGGGGAATTCATGCCACCCACTATGTGGCGATATTCATTAATGTAATTCCTAATCAATTTGACTTGGGTACTTGAAAAATAGACCATCACTTATTGAACACTTCTGTAAAACACACATAGCGTACATTATTTATGATATACAAAATATATTTATCCTTATGTAGTCAAGTAAAAAGTAATTTTATGATATTGCAATGAGTCACCAATGTTTGTGCATTTGTGAGTCAATACCCTTGAGAATGTATTTTGTTTATGACTAATACTATCACGACATTTCCTTGTAACTGATAAATTCCTTACAAGTTAATTATTCTTAACTCTGAAGTTGTGCTAATTAATACATTTGGCAAGATGTTGACGTAAAAATCAGTTTAAAACGTAGAAACGTAGACAAAATTATTTAAGTAGTTGTAAAAATAACCACTGGAAAATAGTCCATTAATTAATTCAACTATAATATTTGAAATATTTAAATAATAATTCAGCTAGCATTAGTTTCTATCATGATTTCATAGACAAGTAAACCTCTGTCTGACACATGTTATTGATTTTTGTACTTGAGATATATTTGGTTATGCATTGATAGACAGTCCATTGACTCACAACTGGGGATTGTACCGTAAGCCACTAGGCCAATACTGCTTTTGTAATATTGAAATAACAGTTTAAAGGAGTAAAAGATTTAGGTGTCAAGTGGGTCACAATGTGTTGGCCACATGTTGGGAGATATTCATTGTAATCAGTCCCATATGTATTACCAAAAAAAGTTAAATTACTCATTCATTTGCCTTATCTTTGTTTAGCATTAGATTATTTGACCAATACCATTGTTGACAAAACAGATGTTTTCAATTATTGAAAAGAGACCGAAATGGTTGGTGATTATGAACTCTGACAAATATAAGGTTTATTGTTTCATTATTAATAGATGACTTTGTATCACCTACATATAAGTGTAACTAAAGTTAATACAATTTTAAAGGCATAAATATAAAACAACCAAGTCACCATTTTTTATATTTAATAAGATATCAAATATTTCCCAACTAGGAACCATTTTTATTTGAAAATTCAATTGTCGTTTTTAGTATTTTTCTTTACTCATTTGTGTTTTCCCATCATTTCCCTGAACTTCACAAATATTTCAAGATCATAATTAGCCAAATTGGGCCAGCCTTTCTTAAGTTTTAGGGAGACAACAAAGAGCAGTTTTGTATATTATATATATATATATATAGCTGACCTGGCTTATATTTGTATATTATTTCTAGGAAGCATTTTTCTACTTCAATAAAAATAACTCTACCATAAAAAAAAATAGGGGTTGATCGAAGAGGGGTGAAAATTGAGGGTTGCGAGTATTGTTTTAGGATGGACACCCCTTATCACTTAGGAGGTTTGAAAGATAGATATTAGCCGATTATCAGACTTACTGAATATGCATACAAAATTTCATAAGAATCGGTCAAGCCGTTTCGGAGGAGTATTCGCACGAGAATTTTATATATTAGATATATTATGGAGGTCTTAAAGGTTTTAAAATAAACCTATATGAAAGTGTTGTAGTAATTTCTCAGGCTTTGACCTTATTTTTTTTGCAACTTTCACTTTTTAGTTCATGCATTCTATTTGAATTCTGAATTTCTCTTTTGATTGTGTAACATAGGCACTGTGATCTATTTCAGTCCGTCATAATAATCAAGTTACAAGGCATTAATAAAGACTTAAAATCTCCAAGGCATTGCACAATTTTTTTTTTAAATTTGGAACAAAGCCTTTCTAGCTGGCCCTGGCCATATCACCAGTCTTTATAACTTAACTGTTCTTTTTATTGTGATATTTGCATGCCTATTTTTATATGGTGGGTTGTCTGTTTTTTTTAATAATTTATGAATCTGAATGTACTACATGTTTGTTTTTTGGAGATTTTTTTTTATTAATTTTATTGATAAGTTTTGTTTATTATTGAGACATTAACTAATTATCATAAGGTTTTTATTAAACAATACACATAGTGCTACTTTGAATACTTCTTTTATAGATATGTATATATAATTTACAAAGAATTTCCTCAACAATAAAACAGATCTCAACTATGTATAAATACAGCGATAGTGTATATGCATCGGTTCTATGCATTTCATTCATTCACACAGTTTCACAGGAATGCTATAGCCGCTGCTGCGCTATTCCTTGCAGCAAAGGTAAGTTTAAGTTAACTGTATTATATTAAATATGTAGCCTTTCGGTGATAACAGACTTATGGTGGTAATGCAGACTGAATGAGGAAGAGATATATGCTGTTCTGTGCTATTTCCCATTGTTTAGACATGTTGGGGCAGGTGTGATCCGCAATTGTAGGAAATGTATGGAAGTTCTTATTTCTTAATGTTATTAAACAGCACCTTTTCTCTGTAACTTCTTTATTTTCTTTCTTGTTCTTATTTTGGTTAAAAAATTTAAATACGTCGCCAATATTGGGGGTTGCTAGTGGGAAGGGGGACGAGGAGGGGTAGGGTTATCACCGGAAACAGGTATTTAATCAAAAAAACAAATTATACATATTCATAAATTATATGTATTCATAATTAATGATTTTATGCAAGTATTTACTATATTTTGTTATTTTTTATTTATAAACATATTTTTTAGCTTTTTTTATATTTAATATTGCTTCGCCGCTACAAATATTCGTAAATATGGTCAGAAAAATTATTAGTGTTATTATAATTGTCTTTTTAAAAAAATATTTTTATTTTAAACTCGTTGGCTTGCATAATGCCTTTGCTTCGTTACGGCGGGTCGGGGCTGCTCTCCCTACACGCCTACAGGTTTAAAATAACACGTTGTCTGAATCGATATTGTTATAAATGCGGACCTAACTTAACCAAGATCTAGTTTACATGTTGATAAATATTAATTAATAGTGCTATAAAACAATTATCTGGATTGTATTTTCGTTTACCAAATTTTGAAGCATCCATCAGGACTATTTTCCCCATGCCACCAATCTTTCCTACTACTTGATTTTTATCCATTTAATAAATACGGCTTTAATGCATTGTTGTCTATCTTTATATGGGTTTTCATTAATGGCTGTGTTGTAGCTCCAATTTATAATATGCATATAATAAATAGAAAACACTAAAACTATTTTAATATTTTCGGAAAACGTTGCTGTATTTCTAGGAACTTTCATTTTTGCTTTGCAATTTCCTTTCGTACAACGCCATGAATCAAATGATTTATTTGCCGATTTAGCAATTTTCATTTTCAACACGATGTGTTCTACATTGCTTTTGCGAATGCACTAATCCATTTTCTTCAGCGAATGCCACACACTGCTCATTAGTACTCAAAATGGCTGTTTGCGTTTTGTTTGACCTGTTCTGAAATACACACTGCTTGAAATATTATAATAATTATTAGAAAAGTATAAAATGTACGTATCATTTAACGAATTTCAATGCAATACACAAAATATATATTTACAACCCAACTCCGGCAGTCTAAATTATTTGAAGGGGTTCCAATCAAGGTCCCCCGATACATATTTAGTATCTTCAAATTCTGGCGACTTATTTCTAAATCCAACCCTTATTTTTGTGTCTTGTTCTTATTATTTTCTTTTTATTTTACTTTTTTGTTAATTCGAGATCCGAATCGGTTATTGGAAGTTACAGAGTAAAGCTCTGATCAAAGAATCTACATAAATAAAAATTAACAGCACAATATGTTGCTAAGCACAGAACTCGAAAACGGCTGAACTAATTCAAGTACATTTTTTAATTTATTTCTTGAACTCTGAGATAAAATTACTAATTTTGTTGTATTTAGTACTAGCGAACAGTAACAATAAGGTAGCATAGCAAAATGTTCGAAGCGAAGAAAAAACACTTAAGCGAAACGAAGTTCGCGGGGGCAGCTAGTAATGAATACAAGGAAATATGTTATTCATTCAAGACATTCTCAATTGCAGGTGGAAGAGCAGCCAAGGAAGTTAGAATATGTAATAAAAGTAGCACATGTCTGCCTCCACAGGGGTGAGGGTGTTAATACCCTCACCAGCTCAGAGCAGTATCAGGAACAGGTGAGATGAGTTCACTAATTACCATTTGCTCTGCGAACCAAAAAGTGTCTTAGCCTCCGAAATGAAAAACTTTCAGTGTCATGTGCCACCTCCCAATTGCTGGCTTTCAGGTAAAGCAGTTCCTTCTACACTCTGTTGGTCCAGCGGTACCAACTGTTCTCCGACCACTAGGCCGGCTCACATAAGCTTCCTTCACCGCCTGATTTTTTCCATATATAAATGAGAGAGATATATATAATGTAACATTATGGTAGGGGAGCCCACGATGCTAAATGGGGATTTACTCGAGCGTCGTAGAGACCTATTGGGATACAAAGCTTAGATAAAAAGAAGAAAAAAATGTTATATGATAAATTCCTTTTCATCGGTGGGGGAAGCGGCTATAGATAGTTAAATATGTAAAAAAAAACTGTTGCATGGACATCCTCGAGCGCGTCAGATATTGATAGCATCTATGCCCTACGTATTTTTAATAATGTACGTATGTTAATCTGATCGTTTGCATGATGCGGGTGGTTGTATTTAAGGGTTGAAAATTAAAAAAAAAAAAAAATTATCGAGCGCGTCAGATTTTCTAAGGGAGTGTTAAGTGCACCAAAAAAAATCTCTCATTCACTAATCTGACGATTTCGATGGGACGCAAACCCACAGCCATTTTCTTAATTTGCAAAAAAAAATCGCAATTTTAAAATACTCAAGCGCGTCAGATTAAGATATATGTGGTTCATCTTTATGTTCTAAACGTACTGTCTCATAATCTGACGATTATCTAGAGGGATTCGCCTGATCTGACAAAAAAAAAATAGAAAAACGGTTCACCTAAAGGGCCATCCCTGCAACTTCCCGCTAATTCCATTCCTGGGCGCTTAAAATTGATATTTTGAGCTCGCTGAGTTCAAAGAAATAACATTTCTATGCATTTGAGCTCTCCCAGCTCGAAAGTCTGATAGAAGTTTCATAGAACACTATTTTTGGAATTTTCAAACCGCAATAACTTTTGAATGGATCAAGCAATTTTCACGCGGTTGGCGGCATTCGACGCAGTTTTATCATTCTCATAAGTAATTTTGCAATTTTAATTGATCGAACCACAAATTTCGGAGTAATCCCGAAAAAACACTTTTTCGGGTTTCTTTCATGTACGATATCTCTCGAACGAATCAACCGCTTTTGACCAGCTTGGTGGCGATCGACGTGGTTTTTCAAGCTCAAAGGCGGATTAGTTTTTGAAGTTGATCGATAAAGAAACCACTTAAAAAAAAAATATTTCTTATTTTTTTAAGATTTTTCAAAATTTCTCAAAATCTATCGGTCCGAATCGGTTCAAATTCACAGGAAATGTAATTTTGAGGGAAATATTTAGAACGCCGTTTAGTAGATTCCGATCGGTTTAAGGAAATGTAGGCATCATGCAGCTGCACGCATTTAACTTTATCGACGAATTTTTGTTATTTCGGCTTGCGGAAATCGTCAGATTATATATTTTTCATTATTCTTGAATTATTTCCTTCAAAATAAAAAAAAATTAGCTACGCTCGAGAATGTCGAGATGACGTTTTTTTTTTACAACTTTGTTGCCCTCCCCTTTTTTTCCGTCACTCTCAAATTGTCAGATTAGTGGAATATACACTTTTTAGGATGTAATTAACTCACCCTACCTTAATCTGACGCGCTCGGGAATTTCTGATGGTCAATTTTTTTTTACTAATCTGATCCTGTCTCCTTCACGCGCGGCCTTATATATGGGCCTCATATTTTGTGGAGGTACTTAACCGGGTACAAGGTATCCCCCTATATAGTAATCTGCCGCGCTTTAGTAAATCCCGAAATCCCCTCTTGGGCTCCCCTACCATTAGACCTAAAAATCAGGCGCAGAAGGCTGATCACCTACTTGCCTAAGAGACCACAAAAATATTTAAAATATCATATTTCATGTATTTTTTCTTCTTACAGGCCCAAGACTTAGTATTTAACGAGAATGTCCTATTACAAACACTGGGTTTCGATGTCGCAATCGACCACCCACACACTCACGTCGTACGGACATGTCACCTTGTCAAAGGTGAGCGATGACGTGTTTGACAGTTGACACGTGACATTTGACAATTGACTTCCATTGGGCATGTGCACGAATAGGTGGTTGGGTGGTTATAGTAGAATTAAATGCTGTTTCAGAACCTAAAATATTGTGTAGATAAAAATATATGGTTGTCTTTAAATTAGCTATCTATGGCATATGTCAGATGAATTGTCTATGCTTTATATTAAATGGAGAAAAAGGTCTTCGTGATCGAACAGGTTTGTCTTTTGATTTAAATGGAAGTCATATCAAATGGTCACTACGTCATTGCCTACATAGAGAAGGTATGTAAAATATATTTAGGTTTAAGAGCATAATTCATCCCTCTAAACTAAAATCTACAAACTTAAGCGGATACTTTGTCTATCATAGATGAGTTTTGTATATTTCATTGATTATTTTACAAATTGTAATGTAGATTAGCATTGCTTTTAGATTCGAATTGATTTGACGGTATTAGAACCACTTGATCATGTTGAAAAAATCATTTCTCATATATAAAATTGTTTTAAGGGTGTCGTATATAATTCTGTAAATGGGCAATCACATGATCATCTAGAATGTATAATACCCGACCTATGAAATGGTTCTAAATAAGGTATTGTTTAATATTACATCATTTAAGTAAAGTAAAATTCTGTAGACCGGGTATTAAACGTCTTTTCTAAAGTGTTAAGTCACTACAGGGTGTATGGTGCCCGATGTCCCGTTTGCAGTGTATAGTACCCATGGGGTGTAACACTCAAATCACACGATGAACAATAAAATCTGTTACGACTGGGTGTAACATACCCCAATGCAAGTTGACAAGATATAAGGAAATGTCATTGAGATTGCCCATACTCCAGACACCCTTGAAAAATCCATAATTAATTACCTATTACATCTTCCAGCTCCGAAGGATTTGGCCCAAACATCATATTTCATGGCATCGAACAGTCTCCACCTGACTACAATGTGCTTGCAGTACAAGCCCACGGTGGTCGCATGCTTTTGTATACATCTGGCCTCTAAGTGGAGCAATTGGCAGGTAATAAAAATTATATAATGGGGGCCTATCTAATGTTAAGTAAATACCGCCCATGGACAATGCCAGAGGGCTTGCGAGTGTGTTGCCAGCCTTTTAAGAACTGAGGTATTTTTTTTAATTTTATGACTTTTTATTCCTATCTCGAGTCTCAATTTAGTCTACAGGGTTGTCAAATGTCTAAAAAAAATTTACTATTTTTTAAAGTTTTAATTAAGAAAATAGCGTTGTATCGCTAGTTTTTAAAAAGTTTCCAACAATTTCCAGATTCCGCAGTCACATGAGGGCAGGCATTGGTTCTCCTATGTGGATAAAACTGTAACAGCTGATCTTCTAGAGCGGCTCACGTCTGAATTCCTTCACATATTCGACAAGTGTCCTTCTAGACTGAAAAAGAAGATGATGACCATGTCCAATGCCAGTGAGTTATTTTTTTTATAATTAAACATATGTTAAACAAAATACTTAGTCTTAGTTATATAAACTTGATTTGCAATGGCCTTTTTTATAAAACATTAGTTAAAGCCAATAGTGGTGGTGTTGATACTTGAAGCGTAAAACAGACGCACGGAAGCGTTCAAGCTATCTTTTTGCACGAGCTATTCAGGAAAACTAGCATGGTTTAGCTGATAATTTGTTTCTAAATACAGACATGAAATGCTAATAGCCTAATGGAAATGCATTGAATATGGCTTCATCTGAGTCATTTTATTTATTCCACATCTGGTCTAAGATCCCACTATACAACGACCTTCACCGAGATGCTTATTTAATGAAACTTATTTTATATATAATTTAATATGTCAATAAATATAATCCATATGGGTTGCCTAGCAAATTTCAGTCCAGAGTATGTTTAATTAATTTAAAAAAAAATATTTTTTTAAACATTTCACCGGTATGATTATTAGATAAATTCTATACCAATCGAACGTATGAAGCCCATAGAATATGCAAACGTTAGGTTGTTTTTAATCAATTAATTATTTTTGTGTATATTTTTTTATGTGACACTAAAAAAAGAAGGTTATAGTGATACATATATAATACTACCCTGATTAAAAATATTGATTGAAAAAAGTTCAAAAAATTTACTACATGCAAATTATAAAAAAAAAAATTTTTTTTAATATTAATTAAACATACTCTGGACTGAAATTTGCTAGGCAACCCATATGGATTATATTTATTGACATATTAAATTAAATATAAAATAAGTTTCGTTAAATAAGCATCTCGGTGAAGGTCGTTGTATAGCGGGATCTTATACTATAGCGTTTCCACTAGATTTAAAAATATAATATTCTTTAAAAATACGAAACTGATTTGGATGAAATTTGAAATGTTTTTCTTTTTCAGTGATACAGCTAACGGACCCTCATATAGTGAGAAGGCTCGCGAGTACGTTGCCGGTCTTATTTATTGGATACTTTAATTAAAAATGATTAATATCCTGTCGTATTTTTTTTTGACATTATAAATACACTAAGAAGTGTTTGCCTCGTGCACCAATGAATTTTCTATGTGCGCATTTAACACTCGCTCGTACGAAGGAAAACATCATGAGGAAATCGGTTTGCCTAAGAACCAAAAAGTTCTCAATCACCTAATAGATTTAATCATGAATTACAGAAATTTGAGGCCCAACCCTAAAAAGGTTGTAGCGCCACTGATTTTTTTATTTTATTATATTACATAATATAATAATTTATTACTATAATAATATTTTAAATAATAATTCAAGGCGGAAGTTCACCAAACCCACCTCACCCCAACGTGGCGTCTCCATTTGATAGGAAAAAGGAACACATGCTCGGGACTGCGACTGATGAAATCGACAAATGCTTTGATAAAGGTATATATTTAAAGAAATATGAAATATACCCCAGAGAGAGAGTATCGGCTAATATGCGCATGTGACTCTCAGCGTTGAGCAGAGGAGAGTGAGAGTGTTCAGAGGCAGTGCACTATACTAGGCTAAATGCCTATTAAGAGATTAGGAAATTTACATAAAGGGACCTAAACGACTGTAGAGCTATTGTTTTTTTTTAATATTGTGATAAAATTACGTTTTTTTATATAATTTATATATTTTTTTAATTAGATCATTAATTTAATATCCAAAACCTTTTTTTCAATATCCCAACTAAGAAAGCCAGCCATGGTTCATGCCTATTTTGTTATGGCCTTTGAATCCTACTAATTCTTATTCAGAGTATGAACGCGAAAGGCGCCGCCAACAAGTCCCCGGAGGCTACGTGCCGGCGACGTCACAGCCGCAACCACAGAAGATAGATTTCAATTTGTACAGAGAGAAGAAAGAGAGGGAGGAGAGAGAGAGACGCCAGCAGGCCATACGTGCTGGCCCAAGGCCCACCAACCAGCCCCCACAGAGTCACAGACCCCCTAGCAAACCTCACATGTGGCCTCACAAACCACTACACCACAAACCTCCCCACGACAAACCTCCCCACGACAAACTTCTCCACGACAAACTTCTCCACGACAAACCTCTCCACGACAAACCTCTCCACGACAAACTTCTCCACGATAAACCTCTCCACGAGAGGCATCGACCCTCCAATCCACCGAACCTCCTCAATCTCCCGCCTAATCTTCCAATACCCAATCCTCCACTATCCGAAATTCCACAAAGAACGCGCCCCCCGTCGCTGTTCTCCCCGGAGAATGTCACACCACCGGCCACGGCCGCCCAGCCCAAACGACCACCTCATGTGGTCCCGAAACTCAACCGTCCCCCCGAGAAACCCCCGAGTCCCAAAAAGCGCCCAGACACGGCGTTCGCCATACGGGAGATGCAGCCCCCCGCCATCCTCTCCCCTATATCCCCCAAAAAAACCGAGCCAGAACTAGTACCTGTAGTTAAGAAATTAGAAGAAAGAAAAAAACCGGAAAAAGAAAAACTGGAAGTCCGGAACGGCATCGAGACCGACCCGACGCTGGTCTCCAACCTTCTGAAGGAGAGCCTCGCCAAGCCGGTGCCGATCACCGTCCCGACGGAGACACTCGAGAAGGAGAAACACAAGAAGGAGAAGAAGAAGAAGGAGAAACACAAAAGTGGCAAGAAGCACAAGAAGGAGCGTAAGAAGAGCCCGCAGAAGAGCCCCGAGCAGGGGTTGAGGATTACGATCCCGCGGTCATCGTCCCCCGGGCTCAAGATCAAGATCCCCAAAGAGAGAATTACCATCCCCCCGCCGGGATTGAAGATCAAAATCTCCAAGGACGTCCTGGAGAACTCCAGGAAGAGACCGAATATGGAGGGAGGTCCACCGCCGAAGATCCCCAAGGACTTTAAGGTAGGCAATTATTTTCAGCCCCTGCCCTACTACATGGTTCAGCCCCCGCCTCTCTACTACGGCATGGAGTTCTTCTATAATCCAATATATCAAAATCCACCGCTGCCTGCGATGCCGCCGCCGCCCGTGCCGCCGCCGCCGCCGGAGCCCTGAAACCAATTTGAGCAACGTTTTGGTATTTATAGACAAACAAATATATATTTGAATATACAGTCAAAACCGTTTATAACGACATTGAAGGGACCGTATAGTTGCCGACGTTATATCCGATAGTCGTTATAAGCAATGTCATATACACAAGTACAGTACATATGTATGTACATAGTTATATTATCATAGTTTCTATCTAGAATAGGTAGGTATGGGTTATAATATGGTATGTTAATATTATAATATGTAAAGGAGTCAAATAAGAAACAAAAATATTTATTACGAAATAATTAGGTACAAAAGTAATCAGTCATTTTGGTCTGTTTTTTTTTTAGCCCAGTCCCAAATATTTTTTTGCATTTTATCCATATGACATGAGATTTTTATTCAATAGAAAACACTTTTCTCTTTTTTTGCGACATGATAACACATAAATGCACAATTGCACAGTCTAAACAACACCAACACTTTTAAAATAATCAAACTGTTACTCACGCAGTCAATTAGCGAACTAAACATGTGTAAAGTATGCAAGGTCAAATGGCCGGGAAGAGGTTCGGATGAGGCGGGAGAAAGTGCGTAGGTAATAATATGGCTAATATTCATTCAATGCTTATAAATAAGATTTAAAATCGTTTGTATTGTTTTCTTTTGCTGAGACAAGAAGCGGTTGGTCGTTATAGCCGATGAATATAGATAAAATTTCGTCGTTGTAAGCGATATGTCGCTGTATCCGATGTTGTTATAAGCGGTTTGTTTACTGAATAGTTTACTAGGGATTCGGACGGGACCATACAATCTGGTTGTAATAACCGATAGGTCGTTGTAAACGATGTCGTTATAAACGGTTTTGACTGTAGTAGGAATATATAGAAAGGAAATTAAAGTACGGTCAGACAAAAAAAATGTATAAAAAAATATTTATTAGGATTAAGGAATAGTATTTGGGAATTGTAGACAGAAAATAATGTTATTTTAATTAATTATGAAAAAATAATTATGCATATATATTATTTTTTAATTTGTTACTCAAAATGGATTTATTTTCGCTCCTTTAACGTGAAAAACCGACATATTAGTTATTTTTATAGGTATTTATTTCGTATGTTATATACTTTCTATTAAAAATCTGCTCTCAAAAAAATTTATTTTTCTAGATAATTTTTATTTATTTTATATATTAGAAATATTCTATAAATAATAATTTTTGAAAGCGGTACATAGTATTTATAAATGTTGCTTGTTGTCTTAATATTAAAACAGAGTCGTCCATTAAAATTACTCTCTGCGCATGCGCGTGCGTCTCTCGTCCCTAAGCCCCCTAAGCATACCTTTTATATACTTATATTCGTAATATCATTCAATACTCAATACAGGGTATCCTTTAAATTATATCTAATGGACGGCTCTAAGTAAATCATAGTAAATGAACATTCCTTGAAAATCGTGTTAATATTCATTTGATGTTTATTGTAAATAGATTTTAGGTCCTTACTAATAATTATTTTGCAACGCCATCTAGCGGTTTTAAAATATATTGTTTTACTTTTCGTCTTTACTAATATAAAGTAGTTTGTATTCTGTAGGTAATCTCTGGATATACTGAAGCGATTTTGAACTCTAGAAATACACTAGTATCATATATTGTTTGTTAGACGAAAAATAAAATAGTCTAAGACACTTCTTTGTTAGACGAAGATTAAAATGGTCTAAGACTCTTCTTTGTTAGACGAAAATTAAAATGGTCTAAGACTCTTCTTTGTTAGACGAATATTAAAATTGTCTAAGACTCTTCTTTGTTAGACGAAAATTAAAATGGTCTAAGACTCTTCTTTGTTAGACGAATATTAAAATTGTCTAAGACACTTCTATGTTAGACGAAAATTAAAATGGTCTAAGACACTTCTTTGTTAGACGAAAATCAAAATGGTCAAAGACACTTCTTTGTTAGACGAAAATTAAAATGGTCTTAGACACTTTGTTAGACGAAAATTAAAATGGTCTTTGTTAGATTTATTTGTACCTGATAATTATTAGAAAGGAATGATTTTTTATAGCATTGCTCAACAGAACAGGGTTTATAAGTCGTCTATGAATTGTTTAACTATTTAACTGAGGTTTAGGGGACTCGGAAGCGTCAAGTCGGACTCAGTTTAAACAATACACAAATGGCTGTCATGAAATCGGAACCTAATTACGAAATGGTTCTATTTTTTGTGAAATATTTGATACATTTTATGTATAGTATCTATCGTTATCTTTGGTTGCTCTAAGTTGGTCGAAGGAAATGGTTTTCGCTTGACAGTTGGTCGTTCAATTGTCATTATCATTTAATACTGACAGGTGGGCTATATGATAGATTTTAAATACCATTTGAGAGAGTGACTAGAACCAAAACCTTTTAAAATCCAAATAAACTATTCTCTGGGCAAGATGGCGTCGCTATGACGTACCATGCTTGTAAACACGCTGAATAATGTAAATTTTCTCACGTGTCATTCTTAAATTACATATATATTTCGATTCAGTCTCGTAACTACCATGAATGTGTTTAGACAAGACATTATTTACAAGCATGTTACGTCATCGTTTAATCTGTTGCTGTTTTTTAGTAACACTTAATTTTTCATATCAAATAGGTTATTAGATAGAGCTGTCTATTTTTAATCTCTGTGCATATGCGGTTTATGTATTACACAGTGTTAACTGTCAATATAGACATCTGTCAGTGTCAAATGTCCAGCGATAACCTCAAGCATGAGACTTAGTGTGCGTTGAGTGCCATTGTTTTGTTACCATTACGAATAAACGACTTAAATTGTTATACAATTTTAATTGATATTTCTGCTATGAGAGTCTTTATGGATCAAAGTACTTAGCTATAAGTTTTATAGAAGAGGACCATTCGGTTAAATGAATTATTCGTATTGGTTCGGCTACACTCGGAGATTTAAAAAAATTAATGATTAATGTTGCTAAAATGAGGGTAGATTTTTTTACTCGTCATGTTGATGGTGATATTCAAATTAGCCCAAACGATGACTTTATTTTTGTATGCCAGACTCGTTTTATGGGTGGTTATCTAAATTTAAATATTTTAAAGCTACCCTCATTTTTGTCACACTTAATAATGACGATCATTATCGTTTGATGTTTCGTTTCGTCTATCGAATTACACAGAAAATGTCCTCGTTTGGTCCTCAGGTGTAATTGTTTCGGAGAGTGGCCTTTTCAAAGGGCCCAAGTACTTAAATTGTTAAAGAGATTACATGTACATATTTTTTTTTATTAAAATTGTAATTTTAGAAAGTTTATTTGAATTTCATTTACCTGACACATGTCAAAAATGTATTAAATTTTGACATAATCTGTAACCTTTAAATGCTGTCTTGTAACGACGTATATTTTTAAATTTAACTAAATATTATCGGTAAAAAAACAACGTATTACGGAACGGCATTTTGAAAATCGATATAATTATCGTTTTTTTTAAGCATGTGTGATTTTAATTGTTGCTTAACCACTGTGATTAATGTAAGCTTGCGCGCAGCTGTGTTTCCGTTTCCTTGGGCGAGAATTGTTTCATTGAAATGATTTGTATGGGACTTCACAATACTCAACCCCTTTGCTTGGTGACGGGAAAGATCTGATTACTTTTGGCCCGTTTTAACTTTTTTTTTAATTGGCGAATTATTGCTTTTTTATGTGGCCAGTTTTTACTTTTTGTACTTGGCCAGTTCTATCTTTATTATTGGCTAGTTTTATTTTTTTTTATTTGGCCGGTTCTTTTTTTTCTTAATGGAGTTTTTACTTTTTTATGTGGCCAGTTCATTTTTTTTTATTAATAGCCAATTTTTTACATTGCACCGTTACTCTGTAAACTTTGAATAGCGATTCCGATTTAAATATTGAGTATTTAAATTTTGCTGTTTTCGATGAAGTCATAAATATTTTGAATTCCAAAGCGAGATCGCTATTAGAAGTTACAGAGTACAGGCGCAGGTTATGGCCAGTTTTAATCAGAGCTTTATTGGGTGGTCATCTCTCACTAATCAACACCGTCATGTACCCACACAGTAACATATCGAAGGTATTTCCAAAAATTACGAAATTTGCTTGGGTTATACTAATGAAATCAATCATTGTTAAAGTGAATGATAGTAAAGTTGGACAGCGTGGCATGTGGTCAACTGTTTCATTGCAGTTTTTCTTTTCTACGAGTATCGAACCTAGGACGAACCCATATGATGTTTAGTTTGATAAAAAATTTTCTCTACAATCTAGATTACCGGTTTTTGGAAATACCTTTCATTGTTCCCTGCCTTGTTAGGAACACCGACACACGGCTGCGTGCTCACTATCGTATTCCGCAGGTCGCCGAAAACGGAAATGGACCAGCAAAGTGAAGTCACAGTTACATAGTGACGTCATATCGGCAGTGACGTCATACCCTCAGTGACGTCACGAGGAAGGTGACGCTAGCGCTACGTGTGTCGACGTTCCTCAACAACACATGGACCTCACTAGTGTAACGGTTTTGTTTCATTCGAATTTCGAATAGTTTTAGCGAGACACGTTATAGAAAACCGTTGGCGCCAATTTGAAATTCATTTTCGGCTATTGTTATTTGGTCATTTTCAGCTTGAATTTCGAATTGGCGCTCACGGAACTAACAATTTGTAAACGGGTTTAGCGTAGCCGTTGTTGGATTTCGAACGTCGAATTGTATTTTGCAGTTCGAATTTCGAACGTCGAATTGTATCTTGCGGTTCGAATTTCGAATGGGTTGACACTTTGAAAACGGGTTTTCGAACAATTACGTACATTCTAGAACGGACTCTGATTTTGATAGTTGGGAATGTTCTAGAATGCCATAAACGAAAGCTGTACTATATTATGCTTCTTCTTGATTTCGAATGCGGGCATTTCATTCATCGCATTTAATCGTATTCACGGCGCCATGGGTGCTCATGCATAGTCTGATAATTTAAAAAAAACTTTTG